CCCTTGGGGAGCACGGGGGCCTTATTTTTGTTCACCCCTGATACCTCGTCCAACAACGTGCCCTGCACCACACAGGGAAAAAATTACACAACCACATACACTACACATGACAATCACTACACAAAGCAAAACAATAACACAACCACATACACAACACAACTATGTAACTACACATAGCGACATAATTACAGAATTGCATAAAAGGCAAAAAAGCCGCAGAAAATAATGACATAATCACAAACAACACTCAACAATCACATGACATCACATATGACACCTACTCATGTCGCAACAACCATACACCCTATTTACAACTCCATTTACAACTCACTCAATCAGCACTTCATCGATGAGGGCCTCCCCATGCCATTTGGGTTGAGGGGGTTAATTGTCCATACTTCGTGTGTTGGTGGGGAGCATCAATGTGGGAACGTAGAGGAGAGAATGAAATTAATTTTGTATGTTGAACTTATTTCACACCGTATGTAGCCAACCATGCTAATCGGAGGTGCAGGGAACATATAATAATGATTAGGAATTGTGACCACGCATGCAAGCAATATCCATGCACAATCCTGCTAATTATTGGAGATCTAGTGAGATCATGCACATTCTGGGTGGTTTGGTCAATACATGTGTTTCCACACATCCAATGTCTAATACAACCATACATCCTACATATTACACATGAACACAACATGTAAACACAACCAGTAACATAGAAATATACACCATCACATATTACCACACATCGCCATACTCGCAACCAGACATGTACTTGTGCGTCGATACAAAGTGCAATAAGCAAGCACAGTCACACGTACAAACTACACACGTGTAAAATACACAACCACATCAGCATAACTAGTCTTCAATCCAAACGCCTTGCATTTCAGACTTCAGTGTCTCTGCTTAGCAACTGTAAGACCATACGGCCAGACGAGGGTTGCTGGGAACCGAGAGCTGGTCAATAAGAGGGGTGCGTGGAAAGCACGGTAGAAAAACACTACAGTTCATGGACATACAGATCAGCCCAGCACTAGCCCAGCTGCACTCGTACTAAAGTGAAATTCACTCACCACACGCTCCAGGATGGTGTCGGTGGCATCCACCAGCCCTTCGAATCGCTCCTCCGGGTCCATCGAGTCCGTCACGTGACCACGGCAGCCATAATAACGCGACAGATTGGAGATGCTGCACGGTATTTTGGGAAATGCAGAATTGCATGCAATCAACTGTTAACAATGGCTATTGTATGGAGAGGCTGCATGAGGGTTTTGGGGCTGCCCCTTACTCATTTTAGCAGTGAGACACAGACTGAAAAGCCAATAGGCCAATGTGCTAGATTTATACATAGAGACAGAGCAGAGTTCTGATATATTTCCTTTTGGTATGACATTTTAGGTTTTAGAATGGTGTGCTGTTTAGCACAAAACGAGAGCAACATGACGTGCGGTGATGTAGTTTGGAGCAGTATAATTACTGGTGTTGTAGTGGCGTGTTCTTTAATGGTGTGATGTCTCGGAGTGCATTCAGGGCTATGTCGACAGTGTTAAAACATATACCCATTGAGCAGCCTTTGCGCTGAATTCTCGTAGACGTTCCGTACAGCCGGGAAAGTCTGGTAAAAATCCAGCTCCTCCCCGGGGCTCGGCATCCCCATGGATGCCCGCGTCGCCTTCACCACACTTCCCAGCACGTGCTGTACATGCAGAGACAAGAGATTCATTCCCCTTTAGACTTAGGGGCCATGCATTTAGTACGTACGCATGGAGGGGGGTTAACCAAAATGCGTACGCTTGGGTATGGGGTCGTTCTATAGGATTCGGGGGGGGGGGGTGCGTCAGGCGTACGTACGCACGCAGGTGGGGGGGGGGGGTGTAAAAAGTACGCGTGCGTACATGGAGGAGGGGGGTCAAGTTTTGACAGATTTTTGCGAACGTACTAAATGGATGGCCCCTTACCAAATGTGGGACCCAGTGCGGTTAATTGATGCCTATTAATCCCCGTAGAATACAAACGGGGCGTGCTGTGGCCAACACTACGCCCAGTCGCCTTTATCTCCCCAGTGCTGATATTGATCACGTACACACTTCACCAGGTACTCATCATTTAAGACAGAGTCGATCTCGGGGAGGGCTCCGGACAAGTTTAGACAAAATTTATCACAAATCATGGAAATGTGAACCCCACATTGATGATGAATGCCTCCCTACACTTTGTCAGTAATTGGGGTTATTTGACCATACTACACCACATTGGTCAGTGCTGATGTTAGCCGTGGCAGGAATTCTAGCGCATTCCGCGCGGTTCATATATCAGCGAGCAAACTAATGCGCCACCGCTCCATCCAGTCACGGGAGTAGTCCCTTAACACAGAGTAAATACACAAACGATACCTATACATTACACACACAGATGCACGTGTATATCTGTTAGAGAGCACTTCTTAAGTGTGGCCACGGGGCAAAGGGGTGAGAGCTGGCATGACGAGTGGGACAAACCCCCACTCAGTGGACATAGGGGAGACTGTATGCAGGTGCCGATACCCAAATAGCCTCCGTTGAGAATCCCCGCAAACCTCTTCAAAGTCCCTTTAAGACAGACGCCGGCACTCATGTAACTCACACAGGTACTTTTATAGGCTCGAGACACAACACAATCGAATCGACAACGTTCACTTGTATTGTTCTACGCGTTCAAACGATTACAACAACTTTTATTTTAATCTCAAAGAACTCAAATCTAAATCAACACGTGGAATTGAGGCCCGGCACGCCCCGTGAGGCCTACGGCTTTTCCTAGAACTCCTCCCCCGTTTCTGGCTTCGTTCGCCCGCCGCAGAGGAAGGCGAGGAAAGCGGGGGGGGGTCGTCGACCTTAACGCCTCCGCGTGCAATCCCTTTCAGAGGAAACACAGCCACGTTTTCATTTGCGCGTGAAGCGAGACGGGGAGCGTCGGTTCGTTACCTGCACGTAGGCGTCGACATCGGCAAAGCCCGGGATGGGCTCCCGGCTGAGCGGGTCGGGGTCCGGGCCTCCGTCACCCCCATTGCTCACGGAGTCGGCCATGGTGGTGGCAATGGGAATGCTTCCGGAAGCGGAAGATGACGGAGCCAACTGAACGGGCGGTGGAGATCTTCTGGAAGATTGCTTTTGTGGTAACTCCGAAAATCCGCGGGACACCGCGACGACAACAAAATAAGTAAATTTTTATTTAAAGCTTTCGTGACTGCAGCGATTCATCTTCTTGGTTCTTTCGGTAAAGTCACGTAGAAGGGAAATAATAAAATTGTAAAAATATAAAACAATAAAAAATCTCACGACGTATCGACTGCAACACAAGCAATCATCATCAGGTGTGAAATCCACAGCAAGAAATCTTTTTTTCCAAATTTTCTTGCTGTGGATTTCACACCTGATAATGATTGCTTGTGTTGCAGTCGAAACGTCGTGAGAATTTGTATTGTTTTATATATTTTTTCATTTCCCTTCTACGTGACTTTACCGAAAGAACCAAGAAAAATAAGCAATCTTTAAAAAAATTTTTTAACACGCTTTAATAAAATGTAGCGTACTAGGAAGTGGCCCCGAAGCTTGCCATAACGTCAAGGACCGTGGCCAATTACAGCCAACGTGAGTTGAGCGTGGACAATTCGACCGAAGCCGAAACAAAACATATAAAAAAAGCTTTAAATATTTATTTATTTATTTTTAATGACAGAATATAGTATTGTCATCAGTATGGCATAAGTATACCAAGTTTGCAGTCGATACCACATTGGGAAGTGGGTTAAAATTGAGTTACAAGATTTGAGGATACAACAATGACAACAACAACAGACAGAGTGAGTTAAATGAAAGCGTGTAACAAGTATAACCCGTAAAAACAAAGTTTTTCACTATAAATCCTTTATATGCGTGGCGGCTAGAGTCCTCTCGTCCTCTGGCTTGAGATGGCTGCCACCTATGGGTCAGATGATTGCATTGCACCATTAAGCAATTGGTAATTAAATATAATATTTTTGTCCTAAAAAGTGTAAAATTTTGGGGAAAAAATTGTCACGCACAACGAGTCTGTGTGCAAAATGTCAGCTCGATTGGATCACGGGAAGTGGGTTAAAAAACGACCGAAAGATTTGCACGGTCGTAAGCAAGCAAGCGAACTTAATATAAAGGATTAAAAAATAGTTACGAAATATATAAATAGCAAAAAAAAGTTGACCGAATATTTGTATTTCTTAAACCATACAAACCAATGTGGTCCACGTCTTCCGGCAGACGAAAGATATCTTCCAATACAAAACACGCGGACCAATACAAACCAATGGGGTCGATATCTTCCGGTAGAGGAAGACATCTTCCAATAGAAAACACGCAGACCAATACAAACCAATGGGGTGCCACGTTTTACCGGTAGAGGAAGATATCTTCCAATAGAAAACACGCAGACCAATACAAACCAATGGAGTCGACATCTTCCGGTGGAAGATATCTTCCGGTAGAGGAAGATATCTTCCAATAGAAAACCCTCAGACCAATACAAACCAACGGGGTCGACATCATCCGGTAGAGGAAGATATCTTCCAATAGAAAACACGCAGACCAATACAAACCAATGGGGTCCACGTCTTCCGGTAGAGGAAGATATCTTCCAATAGAAAACACGCGGCACCAATGCAAACCTATGCAAACCAATGGGTCCACGTCTTCCGGTAGAGGAAGATATCTTCCAATAGAAAACACGCAGACCAATACAAACCAATGGGGTTCACGTCTTCCGGTAGAGGAAGATATCTTCCAATAGAAAACACTCGAACCAATACAAACCAATGGAGTCGATATCTTCCGGTAGAGGAAGATATCTTCCAATAGAAAACACTCGAACCAATACAAACCAATGGGGTCGAGGTCTTCCGGTAGAGGAAGATATCTTCCAATAGAAAACCCGCAGACCAATACAAACCAATGGGGTCGACATCTTCCGGAAGACGCAGACATCTTCCGGAAGATGGAGAGGGACTTCCGGCCCCGTTGCACGACCGCCATCTTCACACGACCGGTCGCGAGTGTGCGGCCGATTCGAGACCCGCGGCTCGCGTTCAGGAGAAAGTAGAGACCATCTGATCCCCGGTAACGCCGCAACACGTTGTTAACTCGTCGTCTCCGCCTCGCCTACAGTGCAGCCACCGCCGAAAGCGCTTTTAGTTTAGATCGGAATCGCGCGCGCGAGCCCACGTGCGCGCACTGTACGCACTGTACAGCCACGTGTATGGTGCGGGCCGCATGGTGCTTTATAATCGGGCTTGTTTGTCGTAATTGTTTGACGATTGAGTGACACCGTTGCCCAATGCTGGCTGATTGGCCTCCCGACGCCGTGTCGGTCATGGGGATTGGTTTGACCATACTTCACCGCGCTGGTCATGTTGGGTGGAGGAGATGAGGCCTGGGAGCGTTGTAATTTTGTGTTGTAATTGCGTGTTGCCTGTTGTTCAGCTTGAGAGTACCTGTGCATTTGTTAACGATGTTGTGTCTCGAGTAACTTAAATACAGTACAACTTCGTACCACAGTACTAGTCGAGCGGTGGCGTAGTGGTTAGCGCAAAGCGGTGTGGAACCAGGCGATCTGAGTCGATTATCGGCCACGACTAACATCGGTTCGAATTTGTGTTCGTAAGGGAGACGTGGATGCAGGGCGAATCGTGCCGATCCACTGCTGGATGCACCAGCGTGGTGCGGTACGGTCAGGCAACCCTATTGGCAGCAACTGCGTGGGAAAGACTTCATCCAACAGTGGAATGACAGTGGGTTGTAAATGATTTCTGTAATCGCATATCGACAGCTGTGGAACGTGTGACATTTTCACCACTGGTTCAGGGCGGATAACGGAGATGGAAGATCCATAGAGGTGTTTTAGGTTAGTTTGCGTGAGTATCAATGTCGTTAAACCCGCCGCCAATTAGTTATTAGCTTAGCACACCCGGTGTGTTGGAGAGTAAACCCTCAACATTTACGATGTTTCGTCGGTAATTACAACTAGCATCATCAGGCGACAGCCAGCATTTTTGTTGGCGAGTTGAACGACGCATTTATATTTACGCGATCTAACCAAAAAGAAAACCTTTTACGTATAGAATTGGTCGCGAAAGCCTGCGCGTTAAACGGAGTTGTAAGATGTCGTACACGCTCGCTTCTCCGAACATTACTTGTGTAATGGAGACGTGAACGCAGAAGCGAATCGTGTCATTCCACTGCTGGATGAGGTTCATCTGACCGCCGTCGCACTGTGAATGCGGTTTGAAGGTGGGGAGCATCGATGTGGGTGGGAGCGTGTACAAGTACGTTACGATAGATTTCATTACACTGCCCTCTGCTGCCCATAACGTATAGCGCCTGGTAATTGCATGGTAGTCGCACATTAAGGCACTGACCAGGTTCTAACCTGTCGAGCCATTGAGGTCTGTCGAAATTGAATACATTCTTGGTGATTTGGTGTAAATGTAACGCAAAAAAATGTAATTTGGCAGTAGTCCTGCAAAGAGCGGCCATAGCTCCAAACGCCCCTGCAAGAGCCTTAAGCCACCTTTGCAATTAAAGGACCTAAATTTCGATTTAAAGCTTTCGTGACTGCAGGCATTCATCTTCTTGGTTCTTTCGGTAAAGTCACGTAGAAGGGAAATAATAAAATAATAAAAATAAAACATAAAATACAATTATCACGACGTTTCGGCCACAACGCAAGCAGCCGTCCTCAGACGCTGTCTTTCCGACAGACCTGTTCTTCACCTGAGGACGGCTGCTTGAGTTGTGGCCGAAACGTCGTGAGAATTGTATTTTATTATGTTTTATTTTTATTATTTTATTATTATTTCCCTTCTACGTGACTTTACCGAAAGAACCAAGAGGATTAAAGGACTTGTTATGAATACGTGACCTTCGACCTCTCACCTGCTGCTCTCTTTCACTCTGCCCCCACTCCCCCCCACAGCCCTTTGCCCCCCATGGCTCCCAAGAGCGGCCGGCGCAAGAGCCGCCCAAAGCCGGACTTGGCCAACCTGAGTGTCGACGAGTTCTTTGCATCAGCAGCTGTTGATGACGACGACGAGAGCGCCGCCATCAACGACAAGGAGACGATCCAGGATGAGCAGGTGGAGCCGGCGGTTCTCCGTGACGAAGGTGGTGGTGGTGCTGCCGGGCGTGCTAGCCAGCACAAGCAGGACCTGGTGAAGCTGCGCGACAAAGATCCTGAGTTCTACAAGTTCCTCGAGGAGAACGACCGCTCGCTGCTGAACTTCAACGACTCGGACACGGAGTCCGACTCAGATGGCGATACTCGCGTGCATCGCCCGCCCAAGCACCTCAAAGAAGCGCCCAGCGGAAGCGACGACGATAGCGATTTGGACGACGACGACGAAGAGGAAAAGCGATCTAAACGCAAGCCTGGTCGCTCGACTTCGTCAGCCGTGAAGGTGACGGCCGAAATGGTGTCGCAGTGGCGCGAGGCGGTGCGCGGCGGCAACCTCTCCCCGGGGCTGCTGCGTGACGTCACGCTCGCCTTCAGCGCCGCCGTGGCGGCCACGCGGGGCGGCGCCGGCGGCCCCGACTCGGCCACGCCAGCTGCCGCGGCCGCACGATTCAAGGTGGAGGGTGGCACCGTGTTCAACGCGCTGGTGAGCTGCGCCGTGCGTGACCTCGCGCCCGCTCTCAACAGCCTGCTCCAACTCCAGCCCTCCGATGACGCCGGCGGCAAGATCGCGCTGCCGAACACGAGCCGACTGTGGCGGCGCGTGCGGCGTGACGTGCGCACGTACCTGTGCGACGTGCTGCAGCTGGCGGCCGTGCTGGCGGAGCCCTCGGTGCTGCGCGCCGCGCTGCGCCACGCGCACGCGCTCGTGCCTTACTACCTGAGCTTCCCCAAGCTGGCACGTCGCCTGCTGCGCTCGATGGTGCGGCAGTGGAGCGCCGGCAGCGACGACTCGTGCCGCGTGCTTGCCTTCCTGGCGCTGGCGCGCGTGACGCGCCACAACCTATCGGCATACCACGGCACGGTGGTGCGCGCCATGTACCTGGCGTATGTGCGCAACGCGCGCTTCTCCTCGCCCGACTCGTTGCCCCTCATTGGCTTCATGCAGCGCTGCCTGTGCGAGGTGCTCGCCATGGACCCCGCCGGCGCGCACGCCCACGCCTTCGCCTACGTGCGCCAGCTCGCTGTGCACCTGCGCGGAGCACTGGCGACGCGCCGTCGCGATAGCTTCCGCACCGTTTACAACTGGCAGTTTGTGCGTTGCGTGGAGCTGTGGTGCCGCGCGCTGCCCGCTCTCAATGCCGCTGCGCCTGGCTCGGCCACGTCGCTCGTGTACCCGCTGGCACAGGTGGCGTGGGGCTGCGCGCGCCTCGTGCCCTCGGAGCGCTTCTACCCGCTGCGCCTGCACGTGGCGCGTGCCCTCACGTTGCTGTCGGCCGGCACGGGCGCCTTCGTGCCGGTGCTGCCGCTGCTGGGCGAGGTGCTGGAGCGCACTGACTTCAACCGGCGGCCAGGCCGCCTGAGCACACGCCCCATCAACTTCGCGACGACGCTGCGGCTGAGCCGCGCCGAGCTCCAGGAGAAGTCGTTCTGCGACGGCCTCGTCGAGCAGCTCTGCGACGCGACGCTGGAGCACCTGCGCACGCATGCGCACCGCGTCGCCTTTCCCGAGCTGGTACTGCCCTTCTCTCTGCAGCTGCGCGCCTTCCTCAAGCGCTGCAAAGTGGCCAATTACTGCCGGCAGGCACGCCAGCTGCTGGACAAGCTGACGGAGAACGCGACGTTCGTATCGGGGCGACGCGGAGTGGCGGGGGCGCCGGCCGTGACTGACGTGGCGGCCGTGGAGGCATGGGAGGAGCGGCTGCTCGCCGAGGGCACGCCGCTGAGCCGCTACTACGACGCGTGGAAGCGCCTGCGTGAGCACGAGCTGCGACTGGAAGTGAGCGGCAAGGAGAGGATGGAGGACGCGGGGCTCCCGGCCATCGTGAAGCGGAGGCGCGCAGAGGCCGAACGGGACGCCGACAAGGACAGCGACCGGAAAGAGCTCACAGAGCTCTTCCCGTCCGACGACGACGAAGATGACGACGATGATGTCGACGACGATGGCGCTGGTGACGATGAGGAAGATCGTAGCCGGAGTTTGATCAAGGTTAAGACGAAGAAGGGTGTGAAGAAAAGTGATGATGACGATGTAGATTTTGACATGGATGACTTTTCAGGGAGCGACCTGGATGACTTGTCCGACAGTGAAGACGAAGTTGATGTCAGAGGTAATAAAAAGGGGAATAAGGTCCAGAAGATGATGGCAAAGAAGGGGAAAGAAACGAAGGGGAAGGAAACGAAGGGGAAGAAGGGGAAAGAGCCAGCGAAACCCATCCCGGTCGCAGTGCTGAAGGACCTCGCTGAGGGAGGAGATGACGTTGTGGAAGACCTGGCGCTGTCGTCCGACGAGGGGTGATGACAACGACCTCGTGGCACCAAGGCCCCACCCCCTCTCTCCTGCTCTCCATGACTCCTCGCCTGCTGCCCAACTTTCCCCTTCTCTCCTCGAGTCTCCTGGACTCTGCCTAAATGTCCGCTCAAGTCCCCAGGACTTTCGACTCTCCCATCCTCCCCATTCCAGATCTCTAGTCACAGTGAAACAATAACGTGAGGATTTCTCAACCAGTCGCGGTTGACCGTTTGTCAGCTGTTTTGTGGTTGTGCAGATGCAACGACAACAAACGTTGGCCAGCAGCAGTCGCGCACTCACAGCGAGAGGCCCGACGCTTTGTGCTGCTAACCATACAATGGTTAGTCAAAAGGTTCTGAGCCGAATATAAATTCACCAGAGTAGGTAAGCAAATTAAGAACCACGTTATTTACCAACCGATTTAACAGTACGTTTCTCATGTCCTGAAGCGTTTTCATTCCCTCCACCAATGTCTTTTTCCAGCCCAATAACCTTGTTTTGTGGTTGTGCAGATGCAACGACAACAAACGTTGGCCAGCAGCAGTCGCGCACTCACAGCGAGAGACCCGACGCTTTGTGCTGCTAACCATACAATGGTTAGTCAAAAGGTTCTGAGCCGAATATAAATTCACCAGAGTAGGTAAGCAAATTAAGAACCACGTTATTTACCAACCGATTTAACAGTACGTTTCTCATGTCCTGAAGCGTTTTCATTCCCTCCACCAATGTCTTTTTCCAGCCCAATAACCTTTAGCTTATCATCCTGATCTTAAATGTGCTTTTCACTTGGATGATCCTTTAATTTTGGAAAACAGAAGTCATTGGGTGCCAGGTCCGAAGAAGAGGCGGTGATGCGGGAGTTTCTCCAAGTGGTTGATTGTTGACGTCGGTCTTGGACTGTGTGCTGGGGCATTGTCAAACAAACAAAATGGCCCATGCGATTCTCATTTTTCCACGGTGCAGTCCATGGAGCCTGTCTAGTATTGAGCTGTGACCGTTTCCTTGTGTGGCATGAAGTCGACGTGCGCCACAGCTCTTAACATCCCACCACGTGGTGCACATGGACTTGTAGAAAACTCGAGTCTTGAATTTCTTTGGTCCTGGAGAAGTTGGACCTTTCCGACTGCATGAACCGCCGGGTACCTGGCCGGGTACGGGTAGCCGGGTATCGGGTAGGGTACGGGTATCGGGTACCCGATTGCGACCTCTGGGTGGGGCTGGTTGGGAGGGGCTGGTCACCCCATGGTGCCCTTATAAAAATCAACGTTTAACGCTTGTGCCCGCCCTCACAGTCGGCCATATTTGCGGAATACACCACGCCGCCGTTGACCCTGGCCATTGACTGAGCAACCCAACGTTCCTACCAGCTCCCTCCGCAGGAATGTGTTCAATGTGCTCTGGTATTTCTTTTTCTAGAACGTAACTTTTTGTACCGCCCACGTAACACCCATTTGTAACCGTTCGGTGAGGCTCGGTGAAGATGACACCAGTTCAAAGTTGCATTGCTTAAATGCAATCCAAGAGTCTCAAAAGGTGGTGGATGAAATGGTCCCTAAGGTGATTTAACAGATTCCTTTACCAACTTTGTACCAAGTTTTTCATTTAACTGCCACACGGACAAACCTGGAATTTACGACTGGATAAGATGTTTCAGTTGTGCTGTACAGTTCTCCGATGCTTTTTCTAGTTGTACCGCGTGTTGTTTAGCACAGTGTTCAACGTTTTACTCCACGTGCTGGGGAGCTCCTTTCTGTGATGTCCGACGTTTCATTCCGCATCATGAGAAGCTCCCAGGACATGGTACAACCCGGAAACACGTAAGTTAGAATCTGGCTTTATTTCTATTCGTATTAACAGAGTTTTTCATGCGTTTCACAGCCGGGGGTATGATTTCAATGTTACGTGACATCTGATCAACTTTGTTTTTGTTATTATCTTGAGTAGTTATGCCTGTTATTATGGTGCCGTGTTTGTAACAAGACTATAATTCCTTGGCAATAAATTCCTTTATCAATTGAATTGTTTCAGCCCTCGTGAAAACGATTGAAAGAATCATTACTCGCACGCGCAGTTCCCCCGTTTCGTCCCAATAAGAGACGATTAAACAAATTCTATTGGCGAGAGCCTATTAAGGCCAGAAACGAACGTCCACAAGGGTGGTGGGGTCAGCACCGCATGCCCAGCCACTTTGTCTCGCCACATGCTACAACAGGCATATTCTTACAGGAACCCCCCCCCCACTGCTCCAGCCGCATAGGAAGTCCAATATCACTAGCAAGTAGGTTATTAAAATCCATGCTGACGTGCAACGAAACAACCCAGGTTTCCCTCTACCAGCCCCCCCTGTGTCCACCGTTCGAATACAAATTAATCTCCGTTCAAATACCAAGGAGATTGTTACACGTTGCACGTGTCTGATGATCTCTAAACAAGACCCACGTGATGTTGACGTAGACGGCACCATCCAAATTCAGAGCTCTCACATTAATTGCATTTACTCATCCTGTCATGATGCTTCGACTTGTCTATTAACATCGATTCGTAAGAATGCAATATTTTCTCATCTGTCATTTTGTACATGATTTGACGGTGACATGGCCCAGCAGTAGGATGGCTGCTCCTTTGTCGCAGAGGTTTGCAGTTTGAATCCGACGGGCCATCTTGGTTATTACCGTGGGTGTATTAACCACACAGATTCCGTCCTCTTAACAGTGGACGTTAACGAGCCCTTGAGATTTGAAATGAGTAGGCCACTTCCAGTGTCATGGTCCAAATTTGCCAAATTCAAAATAATACCGAAAAATTACTCTATTGGTAAAGCAATCATCACCTCCTGACAGACTAATGCCGGCTTGCATTCCAGGTGCCGAGTCCCTCTGTACCGTACAGACAGTTGTCACTGGGGGGACCTTTATATGTTTGTAACGAGGTGTGGCTGCAGGGTTGCACAGCACTGTTCAAATTGTATGCTTTTATTCCCCCGCTATGGGAGGAAACTGGACAACCTGGAGGAAAACACATGGACCTCCGATGAGCACAGTTGGCTACGTACGGTGCGAAAAGTTCAACATACGTGCAGAACGGGGAGAACATAGAAGTGCCACACAGAGATAAGTGCCCGAGTTGGCAATTGAATCCAGGCCAGTTGTTGAGAGGCCGAAACAACTGTAAACACGTTGCATTTGATCGCAGTAAACACAGGTTTATTGTGGTGGGTCGCAAGGCCTGGAGTTGGACAACCCTGCCACAGCGTGTAGTTCATGCATACTGCGTGTGGTTTGTGGTGGTTTGGTTTGCGGTTGTTTGGTCTATGTGTGGTAGTTCACTGGTTGAGTGGGGTTTGTAGTTAACTGTGGTAGTTCACGTTATGAGTGGGGTTTGTAGTTAAATGTGTGTGGTAGTACACTGGTTGAGTGGGGTTTGTAGTTAACTGTGGTAGTTCACGTTATGAGTGGTGTTTGTAGTTCAATGTGTGTGGTAGTTCACTGTGTGGTAGTACACTGGTTGAGTGGGGTTTGTAGTTAACTGTGTGTGTTGTAGTTCACTGTGTGAGTGGGGTTTGTAGTTAACTGTGTGAGTGGGGTTGGTAGTTTACTGTGTTGTAGTTTACTGTGTGTGTGGGGTTTGTAGTTAACTGTGTATGTGGTGGTTCACTGTGTAAGTGGGGTTTGTAGTTCACTGTGTGGTAGTTCAGCCGGCATGTGGGTTGCGGTAGTTCCTCCCAGCGTATTTTGCCTCCGAGCCGAGCTCCTCTTCAATTCTGTTGGAACAGATGCAGCTTTAGATACAGACGCGTATACACTCAGGTTCATACAAGTGTGTGTGTGCGTGTACAAGAGCACAGGTACATACCAGGTGTGTGTGTAAACGTGTCTATGTGTCAGTGACGAATGTCTGAACCGATCTTCAGCCTCCCCTAGGCCAACTGAGCCTTAAATGAGAACCTCTGTGGCATGTAAACATTAGCACTGGGGAGACAAAGGCGGTCGGGCGTGGTGCTGAGCACCCACCCCCTCGTGTGCAGTGCTCGCTAACAGCACTTGTCCTAGGAGCCTGTTAAAGACTTTACGGGGCATCTTTGTCATTGCTTTTGTGTGTGTGCGCGCCCGAGAGAAGAAGCGTGGTACCGCATGAGCTGGTTGTATTTCGCCAGCCTCTCGGAGCGACACGCAGCACCCGTCTTGATCTTGAACCGCACACAGGAGGGGGGGGGGGGGGGGGGTGCGCACCAGTAGACAAAGTGTACACATGTCCATAGACGTGTGTGTGTTATTGTTGTGTGTGTGTTATTGTTGTGTGTGTGTATACGTGTGTGCATGTGTAGTGAGTCCAACTGAGTCACAGACGTTATCTTGGGAGCAACACTATTACACAACTTTAACACAACACAACACAATCTACACTCGGGTCTCGAATGCCCATCTAACCACGCTACGGCAGAACTGGACACGGTTCGCTATCCCGGTCCGGACCACAAGCTGGGTCCCGGACCGCGTGGCTAGAGGCTTCTTCTCCCCGACGTGGATCTTCTTCACACCAGCACACGAAGAACCTTGAGCTCCTCACGGGGCCCCCGTTTTCCCCCCTGGGCTGGGGCTGGCTCCGCCCTTCACCCCGCCCACCTTCCAGATCTCTCGAGATCTTTCTCGAAGGCTCCCGAGAGCTCTTTTAGACCACGTGACCGCCCAGCGGCCCCCGTTCACTGGTGGCCCCCCTCCAATATTGTCCGGTCACGTGACAGCAGGTCAACCAGCGTATCATCCCCCAACGTAACCCTGGCTCGCTGACGCTCCCTCTCACTCCCTCACCGGGAGCCCGCACCGCACACTGCTCACGGTTTCTCCGCACTGACCCCGCGCTGACCAGCGCTCACCCAAGCCCCGCTCGGGCTGGTACTATGCCCCGTAAGCGGGCTACACATAACGTCAGCACATTATCCGCCGTGGCTTCGTAAGCCCGGCACCACAGTGACAATCACAGTCACTACATGTGTGCGTGTGTGTGTGTGTGTCGACTAAGCCTCAAATGAGTACCTGGTGGGGTGTGTAAAATCATCGCTACTGGGGAGACAAAGGCGGCCGGGCGTGGTGCTGGTCACCTACCCTCTCGTTTGCCATTCCGACCTTCATAGTTGCTCGCTAACAGCACTTGCCCCAACAGTCTTTTAGAGCGTATACGGGAGGGAGGGTGGTCTTTGTCTTTTATATATGTGGTGTGGGGAGCGGTAGCACACTACGTTTTAAACCCGTCGACCCGTGCTCGATCTTTGTCTTTGTTTACCTGTCCGGCTCCGAGGCCTACGGCAAGGTCTGCGATGAAGGGATCTTCAGTCTCCCCGGAGCGGTGGCTCACCACGACTCCCCACCCGTGCCGGCGAGCAGCCCTCCACCTGCAGCACAACGCGGCACACGACTCCGTACGGCATATGCTGGACTACTGACCACAGCATACACTATACAACACAGGTCACATAGCATACACCATACACTACACATTACTCATACAATACACTATACACTACTCATGGCATACACGATACACTTCATAGTGTACACTATACACTACTCGTAGCATACATGACGCTACACGGCATTCATAACTACAGCATGCACACAATGTTATGTACGTGAATATTTGTATGCGAGTATGTGCATATGCGGTGTATAAACATCGCCACAAGGGGGACAAAGACGGCTGGGCGTGGTGCTGGCCACCAACCCCCTCATTTGCCGTGCCTGCCTTCATAGGTGCTACTCGCTAACGGTAATGACCCCAACAGTCTGTTAAGGCTATATAGGGGATATTTATATGTGAGTGATGTACGCGCGGATGGTCTGCATGAGTGTGTGTGTGATTGTGTGTGTGAGTGACGTACGCACGAATGCCCAGCGTGAGTATGTGTGTGTGTGAGTGTGTGATTTGTGTGGTTGTGTGTTAGTGACCTACGCGCGGATGGTCTGCGCGAGTATGTGTCTGTTTGAGTGTGATTGTGTGATTGTGTGTGGTTGTGTGTGTGAGTCACTTACACGCGGATGGTCTGCGTGAGTATGTGATTGTGTGTGTGTGGTTGTGTGTGAGTGTGTGTGTGAGCGTGTGTGATTGTGTGTGTGAGTGACCTACGCGCGGATGGTCTGCGCGAGTATGTGTGTGGTTGTGTGATTGTGTGTGGTTGTGTGTGTGTGTGATTGTGTGTGTGTGGTTGTGTGTGTGAGTGTGTGTGTGATTGTGTGTGTGATTGTGTGTGAGTGTGTGTGATTGCGTATGTGATTGTATGTGTGAGTGACCTACGCGCGGATGGTCTGCGTGAGCGTCCCCGTGTGAGTAAGTGACAGCGTGAGGCTGTTGCACGCTCGCTGTCCAGCCGCCAGCTCCACGCGTGACTCACTGCTCACGGTCAGAGAGTCTCCCACCTACACACAATCGGCGTGTAAACACACAGGTATTATATACAGGTACAGATACACACGTATATACAACTGCCGTTTGCCACTCGGTGGCGGTGACGTTACCGTGGCATCTGTGCCAGGCTAGGTGCACCTTGAGGCATACCTGTCAACCCCTTATCAGTGCCCACCTTATTACAGACCAATTGAGACCTTATTGGTTACTCCGTGCCCTTATACATCTCAACGTTCATCTCACAAAGTCCCATCACAAGGGAGAAACACAAACAGACCCAACATTGCTTTTGCCCGTATTGAAACGGCTGCACGCCGTATTGACCTAAACACTCAATTCGCCTGTACAAGAATACGGTAAAACCGTATGGGTTGACGGGTATGTTGAGGCCACGTGAAGTGTTAAGGTGCAGTTATACACAAAAACAAAGATTCCCCATTTGACCATAACATACTGTTGGGGCAAATGCTGTTCGCAAGCATCTATGAAGGCCAGCACGGCATACGAGGTGATGTGGCCAGCACCACCCCGGCCGCCCTTGTCTCCCCAGTGGCGATGTTTACACACAATACCAGGTACTCATTTGAGGCTGAGTCAACCTAGAGGAGGCCCAAAACTGGTTCAGATATTCATCACCATTATTAGCTGCGAGTGGGAACTGAACCCGATCGCCGGGTTCAAAGCTGACGTGCTAACATATACACAGGTTCACAGTAAAGGTTTTTTGGGTTGGATCGCGTAATTATAAATGTGTCAAAACCCTCCACAACCCGACACAGCCAATTAGTAAGGGATTTGTCACGTAAAGAAAACGCGCCAATCGGTTACTACTTCAGCCCACCGGTGTGTTTGAGAGTAAATCCACAACATTTACAATTTGAGTAGTGCGACGTTTCGCCGGTAATTACATCCAGCATCATCAGGCAATTTGCCAGAATGGTGAAGCAATCCACCTGCTTCCGGTCGTAAATAGAGTAAGATAACGTCATCACTGAACCCATCAGGTGCACACACATTTACATATACACGGGTATGCACACACGTTCACGAGCACATACAGCGACACATATGGGTAAACTACAGGTAAAGATGGTTCATTAAATCGGGTTTATCAATGGTTAATTGCAGTGAATGTGATCAATCTGACGTAATGCTGGTTACTGGCTGGAATGACGTTAAATCTTGCTTAATGTTGATTACAGCTAGTTAATGAGTTAATTTTGGTTCAGGAATGGTTACTGGCTGATTTATGCATTACATCTCACCACTTGGAACGATCCAGACTCTGTGAATTTAGACCAGGCTGTCCAGTCATCTTGGTCGAACGGATCTTCAAACGACACCACTGCAACAACAACAACATCATCATCGTGGAATCACGAGGACATTTGGTATGTGCGCTATTCTTATAGCGCAAGGCTATCGCGAAAGGCACCGTGTTTCACAGTCTGCAGTAGTTTCGCACGAGGGGGGGGGGGGGGGGGCGATGTTGCGACATGTTTTTCGCAACGAAGCAAGTTGCTGATACATTTCAAATTTGGACCATGACACTGGCACACTGCCAGAAGGCCATGTGGCTGATGGAATGAGTAAAATTAATTTTATTTCCATGCAGAGAGAGAGAGAGCTATTAGAGTACGAAACGTCGTACTCAAAATGTAAATGTTGTGGGTTTATGCTTCAACACACCGGTGTGCTGAAGTAGTAACTGATTGGCACATTTTGTTCACATGACAAACCTTACTAATTGGCTGTGTCAGGTGGTGGTGGGTTTACGACGCATTTGTATTGATGCGATCTAACCCAAAAAGCTCTGACTTATTATGAGGAGACATTGTCTGCTTATTTGTTTTATTACATTGGTACAAATGATAAGTTTGTGTTACTCTTTTCGTATGTCAAGGGATATTTAACATCCACTGTGATTTAGACACTGCGTATTTCATGGTTAACACACCGGCAGTAGCGATATAAATCACCATCACCACGAACATCACCACGAACATCACCAACACCACTGTTGTCACAGCGAAACACGACCGACACCACCATAATTATCATCGTCATCATCACACCGATATTAAGTACCTTGGAAATCCTTGGCGAGGTCTCGGTAGCTCTGAGCCAAAGTGTCTGCTGAGATTAGGGAATCCTCCTGCCCTTCCTCCTGCCGAGTGGTAATATCCGGGTCAGTGTCAAGTTCCATCACAGTGTACAGTCATGCAAAGTCAACGATGGTTATAAAGTTAATTTTTTATGCAGCCACTAGGCTACTAATTACAGTGCCTGGAAGATATAACGGTATGTGAGCATTCCCGCGTGTGTGTGTCTGTGTATGTACGTGGGGGTCGGTAGTCTAGCAATTAGCGCGCTGCTCTACGAACCCAGCCAACACCAGTGACGATTATCTGAAGTGATCCTGGGCCTCGCCTAGTTCGAGTCAGCCTCAAATGAGTACCTGGTGCGGTGTGTAAACATCGCCACTGGGGAGACAAAGACAGTCGGGCATGGTGCTGGCAACCCACCCCCTCGTGTGCTGTTGTTTGGCCTTCATAGGTGCTCGCTAACAGCACTTACTCCAACAGTCTGTTAAGACTATACGTAGAATATTTGTATGTGTACGTATTTGTGTGTATATGTGCACGTGGTGGTGCAGTGGTTGATGCACTGCATTGCGAACCGGGCAACCAGAGTTTAATTCTCGCTTACGATCAATATCGATGACTAATATAAAATTTGGAACGAGAACTTCCTTAGGTCAAGTCAGCCTTAATTGAGTACCTGGTGCAGTGTTTAAATTATCTGCAATGGAGAGACAAAGGCGGCCAGGCCAGGTGGCCACCCACCCCATCATGTGCCTTGTCCTTCATAGGTGCTCGCTAACAGAACTTGCCCCAACAGTCTGTTAAGGCTATATGGGGGATCTTTTTGTGGTAAATCTCGTACTTACCTGTGTCTGTATTTACAGGTGTGGTACATCCCGTGCATACCCATGTGTATGTATGCACCTGTGTATGTGGTACATCCCGTGTGTGTACCTGTGTGTGCGGTACATGTCGCGTGTGTACCTGTGTGCGTGTGTACCTGTGTGTGTATGCACCTGTGTGTGTGGTACATTGCATGTGTGCGTGTGCGGTACATGTCCTGTGTACCTGTGTGCGTTTGCGGTACATCCCATGCACGTGCAGGTCCGATGCTGCCGCGTCGATACCTAGCACCACTGCGTCCTGGTTTCCCGAGCGCTGCACAGCCTCACGCACCAGCTGTAGCGCTGCACACACACACACATTACACACATTAAACACATTACACACGCACACATTACACATACATTACACACATTGAATACAGACACAGACCCCGATACCCGTTGTCACTTCTGCAGCAGGTAAACAACGTGGTGCATCCTGGGTTCGCAGTGCAGAAGAGGTGTTTGCGTGTTTTGTCGCCGCGAAAATTTCACACTTCTCCTGCCCGCCAATCACGCCGCTGCCTGGTTGAGAACCGCTGCTCTAAGAGCTAAATTAATAGATAAATTAAGTAAAGACCACATTTTCTATCATAGCTGCTTTGTGTGCAGGCATAGGCGGGGGCCATAGTGACCATCAACTCACAATGCCTGAGAATCATGTTCAAAATCATGGGCGACTGAAACCTGAATTTAATCTTAGGACCTCAGTTCGTGCCAGCTCAGTGCTTTGATACGGTATGAGCCCCTAGAAAGGAGGTAGGCCACGAGCCATCTGTTCAGCCATCCGGGCCACCATTGTTCGATATCATTCTCCTCTACCCACCGTAACTAGGCCTCGGTAAGGTAAGGTAAAAGGTAAAAACAACGAGCCTACCTTTCCCCTACCTTTTACCCTTACCGCATACAAATTACCCGATTACAGGGTAATTACTGGGGTACTACACATGAAAAAGGTTTGTAATAGGTAAATGCTAGGTAGAGCGCTTTATTCATATAGAATACTCTCGATGATTCCAATTTTAAATGGAGGCCACGGACTGCGCCACGGAGCTTTTAGCGAGCGGTAAACAAGGTAATACTTCACGTTACCTTTACCCTACCGGATAATTCTTCCGCGCTACCTTTACCCTACCCTTTAGCTTACCCCTTGACATGTCGACACCTTTACCCTTTTACCCGGTAAAAAGGGTAAATTACCTTACCTTGCCGAGGCCTAATTGTAACGCTAAGTCGTCCGCAACAAAGGTGGGTTCACACTGGACTGCTTAATGCAGTGATGTAATGGCCACTTAAAACCCCATTATTATTTTCATCAGCAGCATGAGCATCATAATTATATGAAGTATAAGTGTCAGGCTTAACATTTTGGGGGTTTTAAGGACCATTTCGGATCGTTTTTGGCTCTTTGGGTCATTTACATTATGTAATAACGTAACGTCTTCATGCAACAAAAAAAGTAATGTCAGTCTATGCAAGGGGATGCCACTTTAGGAGCAAAGGCACAAAACTGATGTCATGTGTAACATTATTTAACATCAATCGGGAAAAAAAAATGTTTGGCTCATCAAAACCTTCAGACCTAGCATTGACATGTTAGTTTTTTAGAAGGATCTGAAAATTGGGAACACATCTCTACATCATATTATTATCACAAGCATCACTTAAGTGATTTTACAGGAGTGGTGGAGAGTTGGGGGCGCGGAGGAGTTTCCTTCGGACTGCACTATCGCACGGGAAGGGAGGGCTGGATTTGTGGGTTGCCCGTCAGACCGCACCATCGCACAGGAAGGGGAGCGAAGGGAGGGCTGGATTTGAACTTATTTCCTTTTTTTATTCAAGGGGCACCAAGGTAGTGAGACGTTATCTTCCTCGTCCAGTATGCAGGAGGTATATTTGGAGTTTGCAAGTTCTCACCGCGGTCACGTGGATCTTTTGTCCGGGTCCTCCGGTTTTTCCCTCCACATTTAGAAAACATGCATTTAGGTTATTTTGCTGCTGTAAATTTCCACATGATAAGCCACTTTGTTGAGCCATCATTTGTGGCCAGGTTGCTTATGAACAATAAGCTAATAGCAGAGTGGGCTTTACCTGGTAGGGATAAAAATAGTTTAGTTTTATTTGTATATATTTTTACGTAAATTGTTTACCTTTCGTATACTTTGCACTCCTATCGTGGTTTTGCATTGTTTGTTGTTGCAACTTGCTGACCCGCCCCTACTGGACATCTGTGAAATGGAGCTTTAGAGCTCACCAGATTCTTCCAGTATAAATAAAGGTTCTGATTCGGGGCTGGATTCGTGGGTCACCCATCAGACCGTACCTTCGCGTGCGGAGGGCAGGCTGAGCGAGAACGCGCCCTGGTCACCCACGTTGGTGGCGCCCACCCCTTGGCGCTCGCGAAGCAGCGCGTGCAGCGCGTGGTGCACCTCGGCGCCACGCCGCACCGCGTCGTGCAGCGAGCTCGCGCCCACAGGCAGCACCAACACCTCCTGCAGGCCCTGCACGCCCCCGCCATCCGCGTGCAAGCCCCCCGCCAGCACGTTCAGCACCTGCAACAGGGACGATGGGGGAGGCAGGGAAAGAGACGTGGGTGTGTGCGGAAGGATGGATGGATGGAGACAGCGGTAGACGCAATAGCAGCAATGGTAGCAGCAACGGTAGCAGCAGCAGCAGAATTATCAGCAACATTAATGCCATCGTTTAGATCAGCTACAGCTGCACTTGTGTGTGGGGAGTGGTAGTGTAGCAGGTTACCGCACTACACTACGAACCTGGCGACCTGAGTTCGATTCCTGCTCACGACCAACATCGGTGACGAATATCCTGGGCCTTGCCTAGTTCGACTCAGCCTCAAATGAGTACCTGGTGCGGTGTGTAAACATCGCCACTGGGGAGACAAAGGCGGCCGGGCGTGGTGTTGGCCACCCACCCCCTCGTGTGCCGTGCCGGCCTTCATAGGTGCTCGCTAACAGCACTTGTCACGAAAGTCTGTTAAAGGCTATACGGGGGATCTTTGTGTTTGTCTTCGTGTGTGCATGGGGAACGGTAGTGCAGCAAATAGCACGCTTCGCTATGAACGCGGTGGCCCAAGTTCGATTCCCGTTCACGGCCAACACCAGTGACAATTATCTGAACCAGTCCTGAGCCTCTCCTAGCCTGGCTCAGCCTCAATTAAGGGGCCGTCCATAAACGACGTCACGCGATTTTGGACGATTTTTGACCCCCCCTCCCCCCCTCGTCACACGGCATCACAAAAAGTCAGACCCCACCTAAAATATGACGTCACAAAGCTCTGCCCCCCCCCCCCAACCATATTTCCATTTTGAAAATAAAACACGCTTCAAATCACTTTAAACTATTGTTATTATAGTGAGTATTTAATGTGGCGCTGCACTCTGATGTTGTAGGAGAAAACATTTATTAAAAAGTCTATTTAATTAAGTAGAACGTGTTGCCTATATTTATTTAAAGTTGCGCATTTTGATGTGACATCACATTTCTCAACCCCCCCCCCTCGTCACACATCGTCACAAATGTCTGACCCCCCTCCCCCCCCCCTAGGTGCGTGACATCATTTATGGACGGCCCCCAAGTACCTGTAGGGTGCATTTCATAAACATCACCATTCAGGAGACAAAAGCGGCCGGGAAATAGTGCTGAACACCCACCTCCTCATGTGCCGTGCCGGCTTTCATCGGTGCTCACAAACATCGCTTTCACCAAAAGGTCTGTTAAGGCTATACGGAGGATCTTTTGTTTCTGTTATGTGTGTGTTACCGGTACTGGGAGCACTAGGTTGGTGTTCCCCGCCAGATGGGCGATGTGTTTGTACAGCGGCACATCGTTCTCCACCGCGCCAGCCTTGCACACAGCCACGCTGACCCCCAGCAGACCGTTACACCCGAACCGAGCTGCACACACCCACAACAACACCAACAACTACATAGTTAGCAACACCATCAATAACACCGTTAACACCATCAGCAACAGCGTTAACAACATCAATTTCCTAGGGTTAACTGGTCAGGAGGCATTCATGATGCACATGCCGTCCTCTTCTGCATAGAAGTGCATCATGAAGACCTCCTGAGCAGTAAACCCTCGGAAACGGGCGCGTGGAGCAGCGGGAAGTAATGGTCTCAGCATCATTGGATGTCGTATCATCCGATGAAATCACTACGGTTGGAGAAGCATTTTTATGGTGAGATCTTTCTTTATCCATAAATTGTTCAGATATTCAGTCTCAACCCCAACCACCATAATGGATGTTACCAATAGCAACAACATCACCAGCAACTACGCCCAATAGCAATAAGGAAAGTAACAACATGAACAACACCATATTCTTTGGTTATTTTGGTAAAGTCACGTAGATAGAAAAATTATTTTAAAAAAAGTGAATAAAAATTATTTTAAAAAAACATTTATTTAAGACTGTAGCCTGGTTCTTAATCGGAGTGAGTGTACTGGCAGTCGATAATGTAGACTGTCGCCTGGTTATTAAGCTGGGTGGGTGTACTGGCAGTCTATAATGTAGACGGTAGTCTGGTTCTTAACCTCGGTGAGTGTACTGGCAGTCTATAATGTAGACTGTAGCCTGGTTTTTAAGCTTGGTGAGCGTATTGGCATTCTATAATGTAGACTGTAGCCTGGTTCTTAACCTGAGTGAGCATACTGGCAGTCGATAATGTAGACTTATTCTTGGTTCTTTCGGTAAAGTCACTTTACCGAAAGAACCAAAGAGTAATTCCTGCAGTCACGAAAGCTCCAAATGAAGATTATTCTTGGTTCTTTCAGTAATAAAAAAGAAAGAAAAAAAACCACGACGTTTCAATCACAACACAAGCGATCGTCTTAAGAAGGAAAGAGGGAGATGGTCACCTAAGGAAACCGCTTGTAAAGGTTTCAAAAATGGGCGTGGCACAAGAACAAAAGCTCCTGCGGTGCAACGAAGTGGGCGGGACATATCTGCCCTGGGGTCAGAGAGCACCAATGTGAAGCACGGAACATGCAGTGCCACAAAACGTCTCGGTGTCAGAACGAAGTGGGCGGGGCACATGTGCCTTGGGGCAAGACAACAAGAAAACGATACAAATCAAGTAATGCCTTGACCTGTGCTTCCCCCGACAAGAAAACACAAATCAAGTCACGACCCAAAGTGGTTGATGACATCTTTCCAAAGATTGCTGAGTTTATAACCATCCTCTCGGTGGAAATTGTGTCCGCGTCTGTATATGTGGATGGCTTCATGAACGAATCTTTGTTGATAGCCAGTGGGCTTGCAAAGTACCATCGTATTCGAGAAATCAATTTCGTGTGAGCCAGCCGCATTAAAATGATGAACAGCCACGGCAGAAGAATTGGTCCTACCATGTTACAGATCTGCCTTATATTCACGAACACGGTCCGAGACATGTTGCTTAGTTTCTCCAATGTAACTGCTGCCGCAGACACAGCTTAGTTTGTAGACGCCGTTATATTGCATGTCAGGAATCTTGTCCTTCACAGATGGGATCAGATCACGAATTTTATTTACTGTTAAATTGGACCTGGATCATGTGTTTGTTGATGATTTTGGAAATCTTTTTGGTTACCCCTGCTATGTATGGCAAGATGATGGTTTTGATTGGATCCTCAGATGGCTCCTTCCTCACAGTTGGGGTGATGGCTTTGCGGATTGTGTAGTCAGAATATCAATTCAGCCTTGAGAGCTTGGTGTACGTGTTTGAGTTCACTGGTTAGGTGTTCATGGTCGAATATACATTGAGCTCTATGGTGTGGAGTTTTGATGAGGGATTTCTTCTGGGATGGATGGTGGTGGGAATCAGGTTTTAGGTAGGCATCAGTATGGGTTACTTTCCTGTAGACAGAATGGCTCATTGAGCCATCTGGTCTCTTTTTGATTAGGACATCCAAGAAAGGTAGCATGCCATACTCTTATACCTCCATGGTGAATTTGATGGCTGGGTGTATGGAATTGATGTGGTTGAGGAATTGGTTCAGAGCCGGTTGGCCATGTGGCCAGATGACAAACGTGTCATCCACGTACCTCTTCCACAAGGACGGGCGTAGAGTGGATGCCTGGATGGCGTCCGTCTCAAATTTTTCCATGAAAACATTGGCTACAACCGGAGAATCAGTGATGATACTGTTCGTTTTTGTAACGAGGCTGTTGATGGGATCTCTTTTGATTTTTGTGTAGCTACCATCATTAAGTAGGTCCTGAATTTTGTTATTGTACACGATTTTGTCCATGATGACCATGGCATTGCTCTTGTCGGCTGAGAGGATGACGATAGCATCCCTCTTTTTAAATTGAGATAGCTCAAAATTCTCATCCTTACTGATGTTTCTGAACAACACCAGTCACAACAACGACATTAACAAAGACAAAGACCCCCCATTTTGACTTTTATACACTGCTCAATCTAGTGCTGTTAGTGAGCACCTATTCAGGCTGGCACAGAGTATAAGGTAGCAGTGTGGCCAACATTCCAAACCCAACCACCTCTGTCTTCCCAGAGCTGATGCTTTACACACTTCGCCAGGTACTCATTTAAGGCTGAGTCGAAGTTGGAGAAGGGTCGGGACTGGTTGAGATATCACTCTTCCAGTGCATAAACTACTGCGCCACCACTCCCCATAATAACAGGAAGAATATAGGCAACACCAGCCGGCAGCCTCAGAATAATAATAATATCCTTTATCCTGAAAAGCCTCGCCGAGTCTGAAGACCTATTTTTTCATGAGGCTGCTGCACTGGGATGTTTGGCCAATTCCATGAATGAGTGTTTCACTTTGCGTGTGTAGTGGTTGTTAAAGAAGTGCCTCCAAGTATTACTGTCTCCGATCTGCGTCACTACACGTGGAAGGATAATAGTCGAGTACCCTGAGAAACCGACCACACATACGAGGGGCAACTCAAAGCTCCACCACATAGATTTACTCAAGAATCTATTTTACTCTACAGTACTGCCATTTACTAGCCATCTCAGGCCCTATGAGTTTTCCGAATCTCTGCATGATCCACCTACCCTTGCTCCACCGCACCGCAATGGTGGATAACACCACAGCACCTGTGTCAGGCTAGGTGCACTTTGAGGCCAGTTTTGAAGGTTACCAGTGTTCTAGGCTCACTGAAACGACCGGAAGATGCACCACCTGTGCTCACGACTGTGCCTCATTGCTGTGTTTTATCTGCCCGGCGCTCCGCTTGTTGGTGTGAGCATCGCCCCAACATCTCCATTGCTCAGGGGCGGCTGCCATCAGTCACCCTCCAGGAAATTTCAAGCGCGGTGAGGGGGAGGTGAGGTGAGAGCTCACACAGGTTAGCGGTTCCATCCATCGCGACGAGGAGGTCATCGATCTTCTCCTGATCCTTGACATTAACGTCCTGAAAACAAGAGGCATCACGACCACTCAACCACATGATGATGATGGTGACGATGATGGTGACGATGATGATGACGTCACTGCATCATCCCAGTAAACATGCAACGCTGGCCTAACGTTGCATATCGACTCAGGCACTTTACTGATAACCCAATAATCACACAGCCGATAGCTTACGAGCCATTTGTAAGACAACGTGCAGTGATTGACACAGTGGCTTATACTGTATTTTCAAAAGCTGTCATTCAATGGACAAACTGGTCCCACTGGGAATGTGGACATTTTTTTGCACTGCTTCAGGGCCAACCACAATAGTGGATCACTATAGCGTTAGCATCGTGGCTCTATATTAAGGATTTTAAAAAAGTTGTATAATTAATTTGAATAACTTACAAAAAATATATAACGTTTTTATTTACAGTGTGCATGTTAAACTTCTTTCACACTGTATGTAGCCAACCGTGCTAATATATAGCACTGTACATACACAGAGTAATATACATACACATGTATACAGGATATAAACGGACACATACTGTGTATATTGTTTATGTACGCTTATTTACCTCGGAGAGTTTCACTGAGTCTCAACTCCATTTTAGGAGGGTCCTGCCCAAGTTATCACAGTAGGGGGCGATGTTGCTGCTGTGTGTGATCCCAACTGCATTGGGATGTTTGCAGCAATGGGACCACACACAGCAGAAACATCGCACCGGTGTGCTGTACTAGTGACGAATTGGAATGTTCTATATTCGTGTCGGGTGGTGGCGGGTTTAACGACACATTTATTTATTTACGGGATCTAACCCCAAAAAACCTGTATTATGGAGCATTGGGATGTTTGGCCAAAATTGTACGGGTTTTTTTTAGGCTTTGGGATGAAACCGGAACAAGGGGTGAGAATTTCGATTTAAAGCTTTCGTGACTGCAGGGACTCATCTTCTTGGTTCTTTTGGTAAAGTCAAGTAGAAGGGAAATAATAAAATAAAAAATACAATTCTCACGACGTTTCATATGCAAATTCCTTTGTCAAGGCGCCCTTCCTCCTCTAACCCAGCTTAAATATACGCTGCCAAGCTTGGTGGTGTTCATTCAGACGCTGTCTTTCCGACAGACCTGTTCTTCACCTGAGGACGGCTGCTTGCGTTGTGGCCGAAACGTCGTGAGAATTGTATTTTATTATGTTTTATTTTTATAATTTTATTATTTCCCTTCTACGTGACTTTACCGAAAGAACCAAGAAGAAGGGGGGAGAATACAAACTCCACACAGAGAGGCGCCCAAGTCGGAAATCAAACCCAGGCCCTTCTTGCTGTGAGGCACACTGTGCCACGTGCTAAATACATGCACAGCAAAGACACATCCACAAGAGACACACATACTTGCCTGACTGCAGAGTGCAGGACCAATGTATTGATTGATGTACTTCACCACACGGGACACGCCTATACACACACACAGCCAAAGTTAATCCGTGCAGACTACTGAGGGGATTACTTTTAGTGAGCACCAATTAAGACCGGCACAACACATTAGGCAGAGGCAGTAGGGTTGCCACCTGTCCCGGGTTTGGTAGTATAGTGTTAAACGATATGATGGTACACTGTGCATACTGCCCAGTTCTGATAAACCTCGACTGGCTGAGATATATGGGAAAAGGTGGCAACCCTACCAACCCAATCGCCGACGAACTCACTCATCAACTCAATCATTCATTCACTCATTCATTTTCAAAGTCACCCACTCACTCACCCACTCGCTCTCTCACCCACTTGGGTTGCCACCGGTCCGGATATGATGCGGCCAGTCCAGAGTTGGCATCTGTGTTCGGGTGGCAAGGTTTGATTTGTCCTGATATTTGGTACTGATATTGTGTTGAACTTTATTGCAGTCGACTGCACAGTTTTTGATAGACCTACGCTGACTGAGAAATGTCTGGGTTTTGTCAATGTGAGACGTGGGGACCCTAGGATGCAGTCATGCCAGCATCAGGGACACAACTGAGAACGTGATGACGAACTTTCTTTCTAAATGTGTAGATGCTCTGTCACCGTTGTCTCCCCATTGCTGATGTTCATGACCACACCACGGCATCGGGTTCTCATTTAGACTGAGTGTACTGTGAGGGGCCCTCATCCAGCCGTGCAGTGACAAAGGGCTGTACGTGTATCGTGGAATGTTTTACAGGGTATCTCCATATCTTCCCGTCTCTACTTGTCTCCATATGTCTCCCAATGACATCACCTGTCTCCCCGTATGTTCCCACTCCTTAACTAATTAGTATAGTTAGTTTCTTTGTGTCTCCCTGTGGGTTTCTCCCCGTGCCTCCCCATGTCTGCTCATATCTTCCCATGCCTCCCCGTATCTCCTCGTGTCACCTTGTCCGAGGAATCGCGTCTTGTCTCCGTCTCTCAGCTCCGTGGGCTCGTGAGCTCCGCGGGAGACGCCACTCGGTACAGACGCCCGGAAGAGCCCTGAGTGGAGACCAATGACACTTTGCTCACCTCACTCACCTAGCAGTTGTAGGGATAAGTATGGGAACGATTCATTGAATGTGTGGATGAATTTACAAAGCATTGGCTGGGTTGCTATCAATGCTAATGGGAGGCCATTAAATAAATACCTGCATGTAGGTATCTGATTAAGCACTCATTATTTGGTTGAAAATATCTTAACATATAGAGGACCATAAAGCTTGGATAACTCTTGTTAGTGTCGGCTCTGTCTCGCTGCCTCCCTGTTGTGGTTCCTTGTGACTCTTCCGTGTGTGTTACAAATTGTAAAGCATATTTTAGATGCAAGCTGCATGAATGATGAAACTGTATAAAACTAAACCATCATTCATAGTGGTCCCCATATTACAGATTAATTGTTACGTGCATTTCACTTATCTTGAAACCCTCAGAGGACAACAATTAATCGTAGCTTACTGCTCTGCAGGGGCGGTTTCTTCATTAGGGCGATTGGGCGACGCACCACCAATGTCATTGAACCACAGAGTCACGCTAGCCATCACTGCAGCCTCTGGATATAGTCCAATCAGCGTCATGTCACGTTCTGTGGAGTACCGCCTCTTTTTGGGCGATTTCACTCCGGCTGAGAATCGCCCCGAGTGGCCCCATAGACTTACATTCAAAGATGTTTTTTTTCGACCGGGGGGCGCTCCAATGCATTCTCTATGGCTTCCGGGAGGGCTCGCCCTAACGTGCTTACGTCATCATACGTGCTTACGTCATCATACGTAAGCACGTTTCATCCAATAATACTAATTTGTGGCCACCTAGTGGAATCTTTAATAAAATAAACTTGAGTGGTTTGTTTTAATAGTGAGTATAGAAACAAACAAGATGTATTGTAAGAGTCACTTTATTTTGCATTAATATTAAAGAAGTGAAGTTGCCTTTACATGCTTAAGCTGTTAATTTATCCATTGCATGGGTGGACCTTATCCTTATCAATCATCCAGACATTTGCCCCCCCTGAGAGATTTTGCAGGAGCCGCCACTCCTGCTCTGTACAAGGGCACCACCATCTTTGATCACTGATGCATCTGAAATATGTTGACTAAATAGAACTGAATATTGCACATGAAAACCAGGGTTATGAACAATTCATCACACGATTAAAACTCTCTCACCGACCAAAGGGCAGGGTGTCGCAGTGATAACACTTGTTCCTCACAGCAAAAAGATCCTGGTTTTGATTCCCAACTCGATTTGATGACTTTCTGTGGGGAGTTTGTATGTTCTCTCCCCCTGTTCTGCATGGGTTTCCTCGGCATTCTCCAGTTTCCTCCCATCGCTATAATGTAAGTGGAATTGGCCAAACATCCCAATGCAGATAAAATCACCTGAAAATTACTCAATTGGGATCACGCATAGCGACTTATGTGAACACTTGATAGGACCCTCCTTAAAGAGAGTCGTGAGGCTCGCGAGGAAGCTTTAATGGGTAAATAAGCAGAATAATAAATAGGCAACTGTGTGAGAAGTTTGTTATTGAAACACCTTTGTATTTGTATGTGTGTGTCTATGATCCTCACCTTTGTGTGTGTATAGATCTACCTCCACTGTGGGATTCCCTCTGGAGTCGAAAATTTGCCGAGCGTGAATCTTGAGCACAGACATGTCTGAGCACACAAACACACAAGGATACACAGACACAAAGACAAATATGCTCCACATAGCCTTAACAGGTTGTGGGGGCAAGTGCTGTTCGTGAGCACCTATGAAGTCCGGCACAGCATATGAGGGTGTGGGTGGCCCGGCCGCATTTGTCTCCTGGGTGGCAATGTTCCCACATTGTACCAGTTACTAATTTTCGACTAAGTCGACCTAGCTGTGGCCCAGGACATTATTGGGAATTGAACTCGGCTCACCGGATTTGAAAATACAAGGAACAAAATACATTATCAGACAATACGCTTCCTTCACATATTCCTGGGAGTTGTTAAATTCGGGTTTTTTGCATTACCTTAACCATGCCGCACATAGATACAAGCATACACACGCACGCACACAGCAACACAACAATGAGACATACAGACAAACACATTTATGAGATCTCACACAGATACAATAATGTGGACTCCACCATGGAACAGAATCTCTGGGGGGTGAGGTGGGGGCATGTGTAGTTAAATGACAGCAAATTTCAATGCGGTGATACGAGCAGAATCACAAAACTTAAAACGATGAAACAAAGCAAAATCCACCTACAGCGAAATGTGAATTGGTCCACAAAGGTCTCCCGGCAATGGCAAGTCGATACGTCCGGAGATGAAATCACGAAGGCTGGAGAAGCACTTTCTCGGTGAGATATGTCCTTACCCACAATGGTTTAGAAAGCCAGCCTAAATCCCTAAATCCCAACCGGCGTAATGAATGTTTCTGGAAAGGGTGAGCGTGATGAAATCATTTCTGAAGAATATTTGAAGGCAACAAAACGTTTTGACTCACTGTTGTGCGTTCTGAAGTTTTAAGATTCGCCTTCAACTGGCCACCGATGCATGGGCTTCTTGACAAGCACACGCAAGGGAGTGTTGTGGTGGTCATGTGGGCGGTTCCCACCCCCACCCTTACAAGGCTGAAAATTGGACCTTAATCTTTATTGATATTTACCAGGAAATATACATTTAATTTTTTGTTTGCATTAATGTAGGGCTCTATTTAAGAAGCTTAACATTTTAGGACTGTTCCCCCCTCCCCTTCCTTTATTAAACCAGGACATTAATCTAATCATTTGAGACGAATGAGACAACATTGCCTCTCTTTCAAGGGCGACCTGGGTTACATGAAGTACAAGCTTTGCCTGTAACTAATAAAAACATTTAAAATCTGTTCGAAAATATACCGACAATCAGTGTATTTTTTTATATTGGTGCCACCTTTATATTTTATACATTTGGAAATTACTCTTGGAGCTGCATTTTAAATGGATTGAAACCATTCCACTTGAGAAGCTGATCGGACAAGAGAAGAGCTTTGCAATGGTTCAGTCTGAAGAAGACTATAATCGGATATTTTTTTAAAAGGGAAAACTCGACCCTGCTGATAAAGAATTGAGACTTGGTGATGCTTTCCGACGACGTTCTACTCGTCACAATAAGAGCAGATGAGTGCGATTATATAGAAGAGCAATGCAAGTTTCCAGTCTAAGAAACATGAGCATTTCCACGTGCAAATGTGTGCACACAGATCGTGGGTTACACAATCAACTATTGTCACGATTTTGGTTAAATGACTTGCAGCTGTATAAATCACCACATGTCACACTACTGAAAGATGAAATAAAAAAATGTAACTAAACTATTTTTATTTTCCCAGGTAAGGCCCACTGAGCTATATAGCTATCTTTCAGAAGCAACCTTGCCACAAATGATAGCTCAACAAAGTGGCTTATCACGTGGACATTTATAGCAGCAAAATACTCTAAACGCGTGTTTCTAAATTTGGAGGGAAAAACCGGAGGACCCGGAGAAAATTCCACGCGACCACGGAGAAGAAAATATACAGGCATCAGGATCGGACACACGACCTCCTGTATACCAGGCAAGTTAGTTAACATCTCGCCACGTCAACGGCCACGGTGCCTCCACCGTCGTTGAGACATCTTCTTCTTCGCTGGAATCCAGGAAAGTAATGGCGTAATTAAAGTCTCCGAGTGGAAGATAACGTCTTGGAAGTGTCTCATCTGGTAAGCAGCCAGGTCACCCCCTGAACACCTGATGTGGGCCTCTAGGAGTCCAGGCACTCCACGCTTGACGCGTCTCCTCCAATGCGTCAGCGCCTCGGTGTCGTTCCGAGTTGCCGTCCTGCCATTTGATCCGCGTTGGGCAACGCAGGAGGAATGTGCTTGGGTTGCCTAATGCGGCAATCGTGGTTCGTCCGCGTTTCACGTGCGTTGCAGTCGACGTTATACTAAAGTCGAAGATTCCCCTCTTCCCCCCCCTACCATAGCTTTGAAACAGACTGCTGGCGGAAGATCTATTAGCGAGCACCTATGACGGCCGGCACGACACACGAGTGGGTGGTCGCACACCACGGCCGGCCGCCTTTGTCTTCAAAATGCTGATGTTTACACACTGCACCAGGTACTCATTTAAAGGCTGAGTTGACCTTGGGGAGGTCACGGACCAGTTCAGATACAAATCACCAATTTTTGGCTGAGAATGGTAATCCGACCTGCATCGCCAGGTTCATTGTGCAATGCGCTAACCACTGCGCCACCATGTACAAAGACCCCTCCCCCCACCACATATACTTAAACCATCCACCCACACACCACATACATGACACACACGCAAACAGGTGGCTCAGCGGCAGAGTGAGTGGCTCGCACTCCAAAGGTTGCAGGTTCATATCCTGTTAAAGGGTTTGCTCAGCTCGTCATCCCTTCAGGGTCAATAAAATGACTGCTGCTGTGTGGGGAAGTCAACACTGGTTGTCTTATGGATAGACTCGCCCCCCGCCATAAGAATGTGGAATTTTCATCAATATGGCTCAGGGCTATAAATAGGAGATGAACACTGCCTCGATGTTTGACACACGCATGCACTGTATGTGATGTGCATTGTGACAACACCAAGGCATCGTCATCTCACTGCTGGTCACCCCAGCTTGCGGTGGAAATTCCTCATTCCATCGGCAGGGGCAACAAAATACAAACAAAAGTAAAACCGTAGGCTTTCGCGACCAATATTATTCATAATCAATGTTTTTGGGTTAGATCGCAAAGCTTAAATTTTTTTTTGTAAATGTTGTGGTTTCACGCTTCAACACACCGGTGGGCTAAAGTAGTGAACTATTTGTCTTTTGTCAACGTGACTCTTTTTTTGCAGATTGGCCGTGTCGGGTGATGGAGGGTTACGACAAATTTATAAATAACGCAATCTAAACCCAAAAACGTTGATTATGGAAAGTAAAACCACTGTTGAATTCCCACAAAGTCAGTGGCGCAGCTACAATTACACCGGGACCAATGTGCCAGAGGGCCCCACGAAGAGGAAGGGGGGTAAATTGGACAGGAGGCCCAATTCAAAACCTTGCACCAGGGCCCATGCCAATCACGCTAAGCTAATTCACCTTCACAAAGTGGGTAGTCCGTTTAACAACCCCCAGAGGGATGATGATGATGAGCTGAGTGGACCCCGCTATGGGATATGAATTTGCAACCTTTAAAACCGCGAGTTGAATCCTCGGGCCACTTGCAGCATCCTGCCTGACAACCCTGGACACCGTAGAAGCGAAGCTACCTCGATATAGTTCGGCTCGGCTTTTTTTTCCTACAAAATGACCGAGCTGAAGTCTTGTTAAACATCGTTTGACACAATCCTGTCGACTAATTTTTTTTTGTTTAAGCCGAGAGGGAATGTGGCAGGGTTAGCGTACCCGCGAGGCTAAAAATACCTTAATAAATAAATAAGACCCTCTTTCCCAATAGACTAATTTGGCCTGGGAATATATTTAGCCCTCAGAGACACCATTGGGGTCGTGGAATAAAAACACAGACTCTGGACTGTGCTTGCTGCGTGGTGGCATCATCCTCAAGCCATGGTCCTCTTGCAGCAGATCCAGTCAGTGTCCTTTATTTAAATAGACTTAGAGCCCACATCCTTTATTCTAACCACAGCATCATTCAATTAACCAAGCGAGACCCCAATACACCACTTTTCTCTTTTTCACGACAGCCCAACCTGACTGACACATTCTTATTGTGCTTAAAAGTATTACTGCGGCTACATATATTTTTTATTCTGGATGTCATAGGAGTGTGACATTTTCACCTCTGCTGTGGGGCAGTAAAGTAGCAAATCAAGCATTGCCCCGTGTTCGTTTGAACAGGAAACGAATCTAATGTTTGACTAAAATAAACGGCGCCTCTGACCAAACCACATAGAATGCAATCAGATCAGATCCTGCAAGCTAAGCAGGTTTATAACCTGCAAGTGTTTGGATGGGCTGCCACGACACATAATCTGCGCATGTCTTATAGGCTGCGAATGCAGCAGTGCAGTAAATCCACCATTGTACTGTACTAGACTCCAACATCTATGCTCTCCGCCTTCCCCAACCGGAGTTGATCGGCATTGGTGAAGTATGGTCATATGACCCCCAAAATACGCATGACCTCGTCCAGCCGCAGATTGACTGTATTCATGTACATAAGTAATAATTATTATTATAATGATACAAGGGGTTGGGCTGGTGGAATAATTTCCACCTTTTATTAAAAACATCCAGGCATCAGCCCATTGAGAAGGACATCTCTTACCCAAGGGCCACCTGGTTAATAAAAATGCAGAAATATAGACCTAGGGATACAACACTGGGCCAAAACATTTTACACAAATGATACCGTTAATATTTTTGGAAAGATATAAAAAAACACATTCGAATGCAAAGCTTAATTAGACGTGGCCAAAGCTTTCTGTTCGACAAAGGACTTTGTCTGTATAGCATAACGTGTTGCAGTCAGTCGGTCTTTACCACACACATTGACACGGGTCGACGATCCCTATACCACTAAAGCTCAAGTCTGTAAATGACGAGAAACCCCATGTCCACGCAATATACAGATTCGCGTGTTGTTAAATCTACCAACATTCGTCCCAACGCTGGCTTCTACATCTCTCGCTCTCTCATACAAAGACAAAGATCCCGCGTGTCGCCTTCACAGACTGGTGGGGCGAGTGCTGTTAGCGAGCACCTATGAAGGACGGCACACGAGGGGGTGTTGTGGCCATCATCGCGCCCGGCCGCCTTTGTCTCCCTATAGTGGCGATGTTTACACCGCGCACCAGGTACTCATTTGAGGCTGAGTCGACCTAGGGGGAGGCCCAGGTCCGGTTTCAGCTAATCGGGATACGAACTCTGGTCGCTACGCACAGCACTCAACTTCGCTTGGCACGAAGCTCTTCACCCAGCTACAGGGGGCGCGGTGTGACGATGAGAGCCTTGTAAACGTTACCTGCCCGGAGCCGTGTTCCCGTTGCGGAGAGGAAGGAGTTGGATCCAACAGGACGTGTGGCCGAGGAGCAGCGGCTGGGAGTGTGGAGGGGGGGGGGTCTGTGGAGGGAGAGGCTGGCAGTAAGTGGGGTCACTGTGGAGGGAGAGGCTGGCAGTAAGTGGGGTCACTGTGGAGGGAGAGGCTGGCAGTGAGTGGAATCTGTGGAGGGGGACCCTGGCGGTGTGAGAGTGGGGTCACTATGGAAGGAGGCTGGTGGGGTGGGGGGGGTGTCCGAGGCGTGTCTGTGTAAAGGGAGGCTCCGCTCCGGGTAGCGATGGGGAGGGGGGGGTTCTACAGATATTCTTGTCGCATCTTATGAGAGCTAAATATGTTGTGCTTGATGTAGCTGGTCTCTCCGAGGGCTCGTAATGGCCATTTCTGTACAGCCACTGAGCCACTGTAACCGAGATCCTAGGTTTGAAGCCAGCTGGTTCAGTCACCCGTGATTAAACGCAGTTGTCAATTGTATCGAGTTGATGTTGTCAGTGTAGTCAGTATGTACTGTATGTTGGATTTCTTTCGCACCGTACCTAGCCAACCGTGCTAATCGGAGGTGCGGGGGAAGGACAACAAACAAAACACAAACATAATTTCTAAAGAAATGAGTTTTAAATCTTGGTGATTTAAAAGTCTATCGCTCCAGTGGCTTCCTAATATCGTAAGGGAGAGCGTTCCAGACGGCCGCAGAAGCGCATCTGAAAGCGCGCGACGCAGTGGCCGTCTTTGTTCGATGGCTCAGCCAAAAGCCGCCGCTGCTGCTGCTACGAGGATGACCGGAGTTCGCTTGATGGTTTATGCTGCTTGGCGAGATCAGTGCGCAAGACTGCAAACGCACAGGCGCAAAACTATTGCTTCATGTAAAATGTGTCTCCTTAACTTTGCTAACCAGCAGCTCTTAGTAGCAGGGCAAGTGAGAAAGTGTACCCCGATTGTATAAATATCAAATAAAATCACTGGAAGGGAACACAGAATTCGGTGATATGTTTCCACGGATAATTCTCTAAAATGGAGGATGCCCCAGTGAACATGGAACGTTGTTTGAGTCAACAACATCCCAAAGTGGGCCCAACCGTGCATGTTTACCGGGGCACTGCTTTTCAAAGTTTCCGAATGAACACATCGAAATTGAGAAAAAGAAAATTGGGAAAAACTAAATAAGATATAACCGAACACGTAGGTAAGTACCGTTAGATGATTCGTTATTGATATTTGGTTTGGGCATCAACATTATGTCACGTTCTCGAAAATGTATTTTGAATCAAAACAAAGTCTGTCACCTGCTGGTCTTGTTTGAATTCTGTTGGTGGCTGCTTTGCATGAAACTTAACGCTATGGGTCTCCACTAAACAACTGTGATTGTATTATGTGTAGAGACAGTGCGTGTGTAGAGATAGTGCGGGTGCAGGAACAGTACGTGGCCTAGTGGTCACGAGGGGGTAATTACAGGGTTGGACCTCAACAGAGAGCGAGTTGTGAGAAGGGGGGGAACCAGCTGGGAAGTTCGGCAACGGGCGAGAGAGTTCGAGAAAGGGGGCATGCCTGGGGGCGGAGCGAGGGCCACGCCGGGAATAAAAGGAGGCGAGAGGCAAGGTTCGAGGCTGCCGTGGGATCGGGGTTGACTTTCTTCACGCCGTCGCTGTCTTCGCGTCGTCGCTGTCTTCGCGTCGTTGCCACTTGCATGTCATCCCTGGCCCAAGTTATCTGTGCGTCATCCCTGACAAGTTATCTGCGTAAAAGCACCCTAAATAAGAAATAAAGACACCGTTAAAGTTCGTGTTGTTCGAGAGTCATTACATATGTACAACTACTTTCGCACCGTTCGGAGCCAACCGTGCTAATCGCACCCGTCCACCGATCTGAATAAAATAAGGCGGCAATATGGACCGGCTTTGGATCTTTCTCCTACTTCTTTGAGGATATTTGATGAGTTGCTTTAGTTTGGCTGTTCAAGCCTTTGGCGTTTACATTGAAATGTCAAAACCCTGAACATCGTCTGGCGTGTCTTGGGCAAATAACTGATTGCAGAGGCTGGTTGCGAATAAGAGGCCGTCCATAAATGACGTCACGCACCTAGGGGGGGGGGGGGGTCAGACGTTTGTGACGATGTGTGACAAGGGGGGGGGGGGTTGAGAAATATGACGTCACATCAAAATGCGCAACTTTAAATTAATATAGACAACACGTTCTACTTATTTAAATATACTTTTTTATAAATGTTTTCTCCTACAACATCAGAGTGCAGCGCCACATTAAATACGCACTACAATGACCATAGTTTAAAGCGATTTGAAGCATGTTTTATTTTTTTGGTGGGGGAGGGGCAGAGCTTTGTGACGTCATATTTGAGGGGGGGTCTGACTTTTTGTGACGCTGTGTGAAGAGGGGGGGGGGGTCAAAAATCGTCCAGAATCGCGTGACGTCATTTATGAACGGCCCCTAAACCCTTGTAAATTGAACAAAGCTGTACGATCTCGACAGAATTAAATACAAGACAAGAGTGCAAAACAAGACCAAAGATTTGACTGGAGTCGTGACTCTCAAACATAACAGATCAATACATTGCTGGTGGCGTTGAATCATTGCAGGTCTCATTTATAATAAATGTTTTTGGGTTCGATCGCGTAAATGTGTCGTCAACCCAACCACCACCCGACACTTCCCATCAGTTAGATGTATCACGTGAACAAAACGTGCCAATTAGCTATTACGTTAGCACATCGATGCGATGGCGAGTAAACACATTTACAATCGAGTTCGACGTTTCGCTGGTGATTACAACCAGCTTCACGAGGTGATTTGCCAGAATTGTTAATACGTCTTCCAGCTTCCGGTCTTAAACAGAGCAAAAGAATGTCATCACCGTGAGCTTATTATGAATATTGGTCGCGAAAGCCAACGTGTTAAATTCATTGCATGTTCTTCTTGGTTCTTTCGGTAAAGTCACGTAGACTGTCTTCTCGACGGACCTGTTCTCCACCTGATGACGGCTGCTTGCGTTGTGGCCGAAACGTCGTGAGAAATATTTTATTATGTTGTATTTGTATAATTTTATTATTTCCATTCTACGTGACTTTACCGAAAGAACCAAGAAGATGAATCCCTGCAGTCACGAAAGCTTTAAATCGAAATCATTGCATGTTCTTGCTGGAGTGCCTCATGCAGCCAGCTATGGCTATAGGGTTTTGGTGGTACATGTTGTTTGTCGTTTATTGTGAAATTTCAGTCACAGTTCCTATGATGACTGTTACATTGCTTTTATGGCTTTATTTTGGTAATTTCGAAAAGTTTTGGTTTGGCCATGTTTGTTTGTTGTAGTACGGAGTTAGAATGATGGCTTTAATCTAAGTTGTCTTGTGGTTGTTGTTGTTTGACTTGCATCCCACTGGGATTTTTGCACACAGCGTTGGTGTACGGTGCTTTTTTTGGAAGATTTTTTCTGTTTTTTCCTGGATTTTTCTGTTTGCGCATAGTCACGTAGTCACTTTAAGATGTGTTCTTGTTCATGTTTTAGTTTTTTGTTTGTTGCAGTTGCACCCGATTCAAGAGCTGAATGGCTCACAGGGCTATACCAAATATATGAAGCTGAAAACTTGCTGTTAATAAAGGGCGAGTGGGCGATTTTTGGCCGACAGGCGCGAGGTTAGGACAGGGAGGTTGTGGTGTGGCCAGCCATCCACAGGGTGGCACTGTGGCGCTACATAAACAGACTTCTCTTGACAGCACCCACAATTATTTATTTTATTGAGTTTGTAAAATGTAATAATAATATTCATTTCAGGATGTCATAACTAGAAGTTAGAAGCTTGTATTTGACATGAGCCATATTTTTTAATCTTTTATATTAAGTTCACTTGCTTGCTTGCGTGCTTGCGTGCTTACGACCGTGCAAATCTGTCGGTCGTTTTTTAACCCACTTCCCGTGATCCAATCGAGCTGACATTTTGCACAGACTCGTTGTGCGTGACAATTAATTTTAGTGAAAAAAAATTCCTACATTTTACACTGTTTAGGGAATTTTTTAAAAATATTTAATTACCAATTGCTTAATGGTGGCAGACAATCATCTGACCCATAGGTGGCAGCCATCTCAAGTCAGAGGACGAGAGGACTCTAGCCGCCACGCATATAAAGGATTTATAGTGAAAAACTTTGTTTTTACGGTTTAATTTTTTAGATTACGTGGAGATTGAGACAAGTGATACCATATGCCGAGGAAGTGCGCAAGGATGCCACGGTGGTGAGATGTTAACTACCTCGTCTGGTTTACTGGAGGTTGTGGGTTCGATCCCGATCCCGACCCTGACCTCTGTATTTTTGGAGTTAGCATGTTCTCCCTGTGCTAACGTGGATTTTTCTCCGGGTCCTCCGGTGTTTCCCTCCACATTTAGAATTAGTATTCGGCTGCTATAAATGTCCACATAAGCCACTTCGTTGAGCTATCATTTGTGGACAGGCTTCTGAAAAAGAGCGAATAGTTAAGTGGGCCTTATCTGGTAAAATAAATTCGTAAATTTGAGTGATCCGAGAGCCTGAAACCAGGTCATGTTGGGCAGAGAACCTCCCAAGCGAGTTGCTAATGGTGGCGATTGCGTGCAGGCTGCTTTACATTACATTGGGCCACTGGATGGGTTCCGCAGGACTCGATGTGTGCCCTGGTTGCCCCCTTCATAATTGTGTTGGTAAGGATCCTTCGACATCAGGGGAGGTCCTGCATGGTTGTTATTTCTTTCCATTTGCTACAGCGGGTGTTGGGAATTTCAAAAGGTACTACACTATTGCTCTATTGACCTGGTCAAGGCCTGGGGTTTGGGTTTTAATCCGCGCTACCAGCATCCCTAACATTATATCCATTCACGATCATTACGGACCTTCGTGATGGCGAGCAAGGCCGCGGTAGAGCTGCGTTCCAGGCAGTCAATAGCCATTTCCAATTCACCATTGGGTGTGATGGGGATGTCCTCTGGCCCCCAAACACTTGTTTGACAGATGTTTTGCCATGGGCATCACAAAGGTCAACTCAGCCGGAAATACGCTCCCAATTGAGCAATAAGCTCAATAACATCCGAAACGCACGAGACAAACGTGGGTACGTGTAGTACTTACTTATGGATTCCTGCAGTCACGAAAACTTCAAATCAAGGATAGTACCTCGTGTGTTGGTTTTAATGTGTTGCCTCCAAGAAGTGCGTCTGCGACTCGGTTTAACTCACGACACAATACAATTAACTACAATGGTAATGACCACTAGAATGATAATGAACTACTGAACAATAAGTGATGATAAACTGCGATACACAATGATATACAAAAACAATACTGTACTGCGATTGTGAAAATGAAGGGCACCGCTATGGCGAGTTAACTGCCTCGGCTGGTATACAGGTCATAGGGTCAATCCCGACCCTAACGCCTGTAAATTTGGAGTTTGCGTTTCTCTCCCCGTGGTGGTTGTGTGGATTTTTCTCTGGGTCTTCCGGGTTTTCCCTCCACATTTAGAATCAACATGCGTTTAGATTATTTGGCTGCTCTAAATATCTACATTATAAGCCACTTCGTTATCATTTGTGGCCTCTGAAAAAGAGCTTATGGCTCAGTGGGCTTCACCTGGTAAAATAAAAAGTTAATCTTCTTGGTTTTTTCGGTAAAATCACGTAGAAAGGAAATAATAAAATAATACAAATAAAACATTATAAAATACAATTCTCACGACGTTTCGGCCACAACGCAAGCAGCCGTCCTCAGGTGAAAAACAGGGCTGTTGCAAAGACAGCCCTGTTTTGTTTTTATTATTTTATTATTTCCCTTCTACGTGACTTTACCGAAAGAGCCAAGAAGATGAATCCCTGCAGTTACGAAAGCTTTAAATCGAAAAATAGTTAAGTTAGTTCGTACTTCAGAAGTGTACTGCATTTGTAACGACATGTATGTATTACATTGAGAAAGATGGAGTACAACGGTAACAATGATGAACAACAGTGAATGATTTTCTACCTTGGTAGCGTTTATGACGAGCTACAATTATACATTTCGTTTTAGTGATGTGCCTGTAGATTTTCATGCAATTTAAATATATTTTTAGTATTTCATGAAAGGCTTATTAAAATTGTAACTAATTATTAGTTTGTTGAAAATAATAATTAATTCTACAAAAACATACCACCGTCGCTTAAAAGCCAAGTCTGCCCCTGTTTTTGTCTTTTATCTTTTCGTTTTACACACCATTACAACTATTGTTTTGGTGATCTGTGCCTAACGCCCGACACTCTGTACACTGTAATTCCGAGACCAGTCGCCCGAGAAAAACCGGATTCCGAACTCCACCCCACAGTGGCGGCTCCTGCAAAATCTCTCAGAGGGGGCAAATGTCTGGATGATTGATAAGGATAAGGTCCACCCATGCAATGGATAAATTAACAGCTTAAGCATGTAAATGCAACTTCACTTCTTTAATATTAATGAAAAATAAAGTGACTCTTACAATACATCTTGTTTGTTTCTATACTCACTATTAAAACAAACCACTCAAGTTTCTTTTATTAAAGATTCCACTAGGTGGCGACAAATTATATTGTTGGATGAAACGTGCTTACGTATGATGACGTAAGCACGTATGATGACGCAAGCACGTTAGGGCGAGCCCTCCCGGAAGCCATAGAGAATGCATTGCAGCGCCCCCGTTCGAAAAAAAACATCTTTGAATGTAAGTCTATGGGGCCACTCGGGGCGATTCTCAGCTGGAGGGAAATCGCCCAAAAAGAGGCGGTACTCCACAGAACGTAGCATGACGCTGATTGGACTATATCCAGAGGCACAGTGACGGCTAGCGTGACTCTGTGGTTGAATGACATTGGTGGTGCGTCGCCCAATCGCCCTAATGAAGAAACCGCCCCTGCCACCCCACCTGGCCAGGCCCATGGGCCCGACCCTCCCCATAGCCCGTGAGCCTAGCAGGTGACGCCGAGATCCAAGCCCGAGACCAGGCCTCACTCCCTGGGATCGATAAGTCAATTGTCAAGAGATGCATGAGAAAACCAGCGCCAACGCCCCCCTCCCACGCCCCAAAGAACAGAGCAGGTGCGATATTCACCGGATAATGACTCCTTGATGCTGACATGGTATATACTTTATTCACCCAAGACAGTGAAAGCGCTGAGTTACCTACATCTCAGCGAGCCAACATGAGATCCAATCGCCACAACAACCAAGTACATCCCAACATCGTCAAGGGCATTGTTCCGCACGCACATAAGCAGCATCCAAGGCAGGCAATACGCACAAAACTCCCCCGTGTAGCCTTTAACATACTTTTGGGGCAAGTGCTGTTAGCGAGCATCTATGAAGGCCAGCACGGCATACGAGGTGATGTGGCCAGTACCAAGCCTGACCGCCTTTGTCTCCCAAGTGGCAATATTTATACACCGCACCAGGTACTCATTTGAGGCAGAGTCGACCTAGGGGGAAAAAGCACAGGTTCAGCTAATCTGCCACTGGTGTTGGTGGCCATGAGCGGGAATCGAACTCGGGTCGATGGGTTCGTAGCGCAGCGCATTAACCACTACGCCACCACTCCCCACATATATACCACCACACACACACCCAGAGCTTACTCCTTTCACTACTGAGACAACTTCTGTTAAAGGGCACCTATTAAGGCCGAGTGCCTATTAGATGCTCGCTAACACATGGACACGCCCTGAAATAGACGTATGAATGTGAACGCATACACGCAGATACACATGTGCGCACGCTTGCAGGCACACACGTTACAACAAGCTCACGTTGATGCACGCACGTTTACACGCCACAGGTGCTCACCAATACCATGAACGTCTTGTAAAAACAGATGCTCAGGTTTGAAATGTCTTCTCTTTCAGTTTATCTCATTATATCGTTGTTCTACGAGTTTATTTTTAACAGCGTACGTGTAATAGTTTACTTTTTAAAAATATCACGTGCCATTTTTCATGCACGGTAATCGCCATGCGATTAACAATGGGTTTTAAAAACTCCCAGTTTCATTCGAGCTCTGGAAAGCCAAGTATTCCCACTCTCCCCGTTGCTTCTCATATCACCGCAACTGCACAGATTTCGGCGTCAAGATCCAATTCTTTCGCCACCATGATTCACCGAACCGTTCATGATTCAGGTTAAGATTCAGTTCAAGAGCCAATTTGTCTCATTAGTTCCATTAGCTTGGAGGAAACACGAGATAATTTACGCAAATTAGAAAGAATTGATTAGTGCGCGTGACCCTACCTTATATCAACAAATCATTGCATGCCTACCAGATAGATGTTTGTTTAGAGTTTGCAATGTAACAAAACTTTGAGAATTTAAGTTTTAAATAAAGGTATCTTTTTGGTTCTAATTTGATAGGTTTTATTCTGTAGAATTTTTCCTTCAATTAATTTAAATAATCCTGGTACCTAGACCACACTCAAGACACACGCACCTGCCTTTTAACAAGCACACGATGTTTGTGAACACACAGTACATGCGCTACACAGCCCTTGGCAAACGTAAAGTTTGAAAATGCACAGTACACACACACCATGTAAACGCACACACGGATGCACACACACAGATATACATGCCTTGTAAACAAACATCTTGCACACAATGTAAACACACACACACACCCCTTAACAAATGCAATGTAAAAAACACGCACCTTGTACATGAACGGATTAAATACACACCTTGACAAATACGTAACACTCAGACGCAGACGACATGCACAATCCTTGTACCCAGAAACAACAGACACAGATGCGCGCACACACACACCTTGTACACATGATATACACCCTCACAAGGTTCAGACACCAGGTGCACACACTGAAACCAAGAGCAGCACAACCCAGCTCACCAGCGCGTCCTCATAGGTCACTACAACCGGTTTAAAAAAATACTTAAAACATCATCGTGGTCATCTTCATCATCATAGTCATCACCAGTCACTACATCTTCAGTCCATTAACCCCAGTTCCTGAAAAACAAAATGAAAAAGGGAAAGGATCAGTGAATTTGTAAACGAGCATCACGCAGCTCAACATAGCCTCTTGTGAAACATTCATGCATCCGTGTCAGCTCTGGGTTCAGAGTTCAACGGCCAGATGTCACACGTGTTGAAAATGTTGATGTTGTATGACGAAGATGAACAGTAATGAAGGCAACTAAACACGCAGGTTTTTGCTGCCAATTTTACAATTTAGATTTGATTTTCAGGTAAGGCCACAATGATTTGGCCAAATTTCTGTCGTAAGATCTTCTGACATTGTCAAACAAATAAAATTGTCAGGTTCAAGCACTTCACTTGAAAAATTGTGGTTTCAGCTCTGTAAATTTGAAAAAGAAAATCAGCAATTATATACGACGTTTCACTTGAAACCGCACAAAGCATTTTCAGGACAAGATTCAGGGAGTCAGAATAAGTCTCCCACAGAAACACAAGCCAAAGATCATTCCTATAGCCTGAACAGACTGTTGGGGTAAGTGCTGTTAGCGAGCACCTATGAATGCTGGCATGGCACACGAGGGGGTGGGTGGCCAACACCATTCCTGACCGCCTTTGTCTTCCTAGTGGCGACATTTACACATCACACCAGGTACTAATTTCAGAGCGAGTTGACCAAGGGGAGGGTCCAGGACCGGTTCCGATAATCGTCAGATGTTGACCATAAGCAGGAATCAAACTTGGGTCACCAGATTCATAGCGCAGTGCGCTCACTGCTACACTACCGATCCCTAAACAACAAAAAACCACCGCTGCATGCGCTCTGCCGTAAATACACACAAACACGCGCTTCTATATAGCATCTGTCAGGCACCTGTGCGCTGAACTGTGGTAGCACGAATGCAGCGCGGTGCATCGTGGAGTTGTAGTAGCGCAGCTTCATAGCCACCACCTCCTCGTTCGTGAACTCCCGCAGCGGATTCCGGAAACATGTATCCTAGCAACCGCGCACCCATAGTGACAACATTACGCTTAGTGATGGGGCAGTGATAGAAACAGGGCACAGGGTGAGAGGGGTAAGGGACAGTGTTAGAGATTTCAATAGCGTTATAGAAAGGCGTCAGTGTTAAGAGATAGCAGAAAGTGTTGGAGATAAGGACAGACGTAGTATTATTGCTATAAATAGTCAGTGTTTGGACAAGATTAGAGTTAGAGTCATAGGCAGTATTAGGAGGTAAGGGACATTGTTGTAGATTGCAACAGCGTCAGTCTGGGGCCGTTACGAGATAGCATGAAGCTTGAAGAGATAAGGACAGTCACAGATGAGCATTGCAAAAAATTGGGTCACAATGTTAGGACAACACCAGTGTTATAAATATGGGCAGTGTTGGAGATTGAGGTAATGAGAGGCAGTACTAGGGTCAAAGATATGGCTATCATGGTAAAAAACAGGGCTCGTATCAGTGCCCAATAATGATAATAAGCATTACGAGCAATTGTGCTCACATCAAAGATAAGGATATCAGAGTAACAGACAGTAGTCAAGAGCCATTTCAGAACTAGTGTATTGGGGTCACAAATAGGAGTAGCATTAAATCCAGACCAATGTTATGGTAACAGTCTCATGGTAATACATGTACAGCCCTATTTCTCAATCCACTGCTGGATGAAGGCTTTCTCACGCCACGTGGATCATGGGGGTTATGTGACCATACTTCACCACGCTGGTCAGTGCAGGTTAGTGATGGTGATGGGGCATAAACATGGGTGCATAGCACAGAACTGATTTTGGCGTACCACCCTCTGCTGCCCACAAATTAACCTAGGTGATTGACCAGCAGTGCAGTAGCTCCGAGTTGCACGGTTCTACGCAATGCGGCGATAATAATAATGATAACAGTTCTCTTGTGTTTGAGATTGTGTACTGCGTATTATTTGGCTTGATGTCCGATGTTTTTCTGTACATGCTGGGAGCTTCTTGAATAAAGTAATGGAGCAACTCAAATTCTCCCTCGATTGTGCAAGGTTCCTGGCTGCTGCCAATGTCCGATGTAAACCAGGCAATGTTATTTATGAACAGCAGCTGGGAATTTTATATAATAGAGAATACGAGCTGCCCCAAATCGTTTCCCGAAGAAGCTCGCAGCACATGTAGTGAAACGTCAAACACCATGCAGCACAAAACGTAATACAATCCATAAATACGTGAGAGAGCTATGTAGCACAACCGCGAAAAACCTACACCGTGATAATAACATCAGTAATAACAGCCAGCGGATTGTGCACGTGTAAACTGACGAACCTTGTTCTTGGAGCAGAGCGTGAAACCGATCTGGCCGCACGGGTATGTGGGGATGGTGCAGTAGGCGTAGGCGACGGTGGGGAAGAGGGAGCGGCAGAACCCGGTCACTTTCTTGATCAGGGGCAGATGGATCCACTGGCACTCGCCTGCACACGAGCACACGCGCCCCCACCACCATGGTTAGCCTGCATAAACTAGGGTTGTTAAAAAAAACCTCTTGCTTAACCGATTACCGCTTCTTAAATACAGGGACCGGTAATCGTTTTAATAGAACGTTAATATGGATGACACCGAATGGCATTGCGGTTACCGGCTATGCAAAATAAAGATGCTAACTGACCCTCTCGCAAGTGGCAGGGGCACATGCCATTCGAGAGCAACTATCACTGCCAGGCCTGTATGCGTGGTGGGGTGGCGATGTGGCCTGCTCCACACACGCATGCTCCACTGTCCTTGTCTGCACTTTGCTTGTAGTGGCCCGTGATGAGGTCGCTCATCTGCATGTATGTATGTGAAACTTCTTTCGCACCGTGCATAGCCAGCCGTACTAATCGGAAGTGCGGCAGGTGGAGCGGTTGCGAGTGGTATATGGGAAGGGGCCACAGGAACACGTCGCCATGTGCCCTGCAGTCTGACCTTCGACCCTTAGCCCATGGTGTCTGCAGTGGTTTGGGATTGACCGATGGGGTCAGCCAGTCAGGGACAGACGTGATGGATGGCAGGGAGAGCAGCGAGATGCGTTTGCATTGATTTCACAGACGTGTGCATTTGGCGTATATGTCAAACCATATGCATTTGGTGTGTCAAAACATATGCTAAAAGCCAGCTGAAGGACATCACTCAATGTATACATGTACATATTGAGAATAACCCCCATGTGTCATCGTGAAAAGGAATGTGGATTACATGGAGAGTTGTGTACGAAGGATAACATACGCGAGCGATTTTCAGAGGGATTGTGCTGCACTGAATTTCTGCGCGTGCCAGCTAAAATTAAGAACGGTTGATCAGGCGGGCGCTGGACGTGTTAACCCAAATCAGTGCAACACTGTTGGGTGAAATGTTCAAGCATGTGACACACATCGTAGGATTGCAGAGAAAGGACTCCTAACATATCTAAAGCCAGAGGGGTGAGCCAACAGTCAGGGGGAGCTTCAACTACAGCTTTTACGGAAGCGGAGAATAAGGCTGCAAAGACCCTGAACAAACCGGGGGGGGGGGAATTGTCAATCATTGCCAACTTCATAAGTTCAACGGAGGTACAGCAGCAGCAATTCATCAAGCCTCACCTGAAGCGGTCATGCGCCTTTCAAACTTGGAGAATTTTTTTTACGTTGCTACTCACAGAGCTATACGTAAGAAGAGTATCTGGGCAAGTAAGCAGTGTCTGGCTAGGATTGGAGTGATGGGCCAGTGGAAGGCTCAGAGCTCAGGGGCAGGGCCAAAGAGCTCATGGTGGGAAAATCTATATTCAGTTGTGCAGTTGGTTACAAAAATTTTGACGATGGCCCAACGAATATGCAACTTTGGGGATTGTAGCCTTGGAGAGACAAAGCAAGCCCAAGGCAAGCCTCAGGGGGATGCAGTTATGGGGTTTAGGACAATTTACAACGTGCCAATTGTACTACTGTTCATTGTGGTAGCAAGTGTGAAGCCATATTGTGATGTCGTTATGCATGAATAAACTTCAGTAGTGATCTGAAAACCCGGGACAATAGATCATGAATGTCTCATTTTCTTACAACTTTAATTTTGTCTACCGCAATATTTAAAACGTAAATGTGTTTTTTGTGACAAGACCATGGGGTTGAGGGAAAGCCCCAGAACTCTGTACACACAAGACTGTATAATCTTGATTTGAAGCTTTCGTGACTGCAGGAATCCATACTCTTTGGTTCTTTTGGTAAAGTCACGTAGGTAGAAAAATAACGCCGTGATCTATTATTAGATCTATTATTTTTCTACCTACGTGACTTTACCGAAAGAACCAAAGAGTAAAGACTGTATAAACTATATTCCTGGTTCTCTTGGTAAAGTATAAAAATATAAAACATGTTTAATATTTTTATTATTTTATTATTTCCCTTCTACGTGACTTTACCGAAAGAACCAAGAATACGAATCCCTGCAGTCACGAAAGCTTTAAATCAAAACTGTATAAACTGTTCTGTTCCAGAACTCAAGACTGTATCCCCTAGTTAGTACATGCCGACCGCCTTGACCATGCAGGCAGGTGTGCGTAGGTCACACGGGGGATCTTTGCCTGTGTGTTGCATGTGTATGAACGCGTGTGTATGCGTGTGCGCGTATGCACCCTGCGTGCACAAGATGCCGCCCTCCTTTAGCGCCGTCTTCATCAGCTGGAAGTAGCTCTCCTGAAACAGTGACTCAGCTGGGCCTGAGTCAAAAGTGGGAAGGTGCACACAAAGAAACATTAAGATACACACACAAAGATCCCCCACATAGCCGTTAATAGACTGTTGGGGCACATGCTGTTAGTGAGCTCCTATGAAGGCTGGCAACAGCACACAAGGGGGTCCCCGGCTGCCTGTTTCCCCGATGCTGATGTTACACTCTGCGTGACGTACTCATTTGAAGAGGAATCGACTTAAGATAGGCCCAGGACCGGTTCTGATACTACTTGCTACTGTTAGCCATGGCCGGGAATCACACTCAGGCCGCTGGGTTAATAGTAGATTGCATGAATCACTGTGTTACACTCTCCATAGGTACGCACAAACTGACACACACACACACGGAAAATGCGGACACGCATACAACACAGACATGCACACACTTGCACCTCCTTCATATCCAATATCTTATCTCTAACTGCACTCCTATCTCCCATCATTATCACTCACCATTTGCATAAATGTCCTACTTTCTATCTGCCTGTGTCAGTGATGGGTCTGGTGATGTCAGCTGATGCGTCAATACCTGAGTTACCCCGTCGATAGCCTCAAGTTACTGCGTCGGCGCTTACAGTGCCACAAGCGACCATCAATTTCATTTTTGTATTGATGCATCTGCTGTCAGCGACTATCAGTGTTGGCAGGGGCATCAACGACCTTGTCAATGACTGTCAGTGACTGACTGTGCCAGTGCTATGGGTGGTGTTGGTGTGCGCGTGCATAGGCACCGATGGGGTCACTGGAGTCGGTGATAATGACGTCAAATGAGTCCTTGTTCTCCTTCATGAACTTGAAGCCATCGCCCACGTGTAGCGATAGCTTGGGGCTCGCAAAGCCCAAGCTCATACCCGGAAGGAAGCGCTTGCTCACTTCAATCACCTCCTGCACAAGCCCGGGCACGCACGTGCAACCACACACACACACACACAAGTACATGAATAAAGATCTGCTTATGCACATGGATATGCAATTGACACACACACACATCTGTGTGCTACTTGTGTCTACCTGGGTGGAGTGATAACGTCTCTAGATGGACTCATTTTGAAACAAATACCTGGTGCGATGTGTAATTACCACCACTGGGGAGATAAAGGCAGCTGGGCATGGTGCTGACCACCCATCCCCTCATGAGCCGTGTTGGCCTTCATATGTGGTCACTAACAGCAATTGCCGCAACAGTCCGTGTAGGTTATACGAGGGATCCAAGTCTTTGATTATACGCGTGTTTATGTGTGCGTACATCACCTCGTCAATCTCGCACTGCACCACAGACTCAACGGCCGGGTGTTTGATGACCTCACGCAGAACTCCGCCATCGCCTCCTCCGATGATCAGCACCTGTCACGTCGTGCAAGAGGCTGTGTCACAGAGGCTGCATGTCATAATAAGGGGCACCCACGCTTGCGAGATATTAACTACCTCGCCTGGTATACAGGAGGTCGTGGGTTCGATCTCGACCCTGGTACCTGTATATTTGGAGTTTGCATGTTTCTCCCATTGGTCGCGTGGATTTTTCTCCACGTCCTCCGGTTTTTCCCTCCACATTTAAAAACATGCGTATAGAGTGTTTGGCCGCTATACATTTTCACATAAGCCACTTCGTTGAGCTATAGTTTGTGGCCAGGTTACTTAAAAAAAATGGCTCTATATCTCAGTGGGCCTTACCTGGTAAAAGAAAAACATTATTGAGTTTAATTTTAGTTTAGAACAATCATAATGGCCATGTGAGAGAAATTAGATAGCACAGTTGAGATCCAGAATTCCCGTCTCTTGGTATGACGGAGACTAGGCTAGAAATTCAAAGGTGTGTATGTACATGTATTGCGGGTAGCGGTGGCATAGTGGTTATCGTACTGCACTACGAACACGGGGACCTGAGTTTGATTCCTAGCCTCAGATGATGTCAGTGGCAACAGATATATATACAGACTAGCTGTACTACCCGGCTTCGCCCGGGACTTGTATCCACCACGGCCGGCCGCCTTTGTCTCCCCAGTGGCGATGTTAATACGCTACAGCAGTTACTCGTTTGAGGCAGAGTCGACCTAGGGGAGGTTCAAATAATCGTCACCGGTGGTGGTCGTGAGCGTGAATGGAACTGGGTTCGCCGGGTTGGTAGCGCAGCGTAGCGTTAAGCACTACACCCACCGCTCCTCACACACCACACACGCACAGACACACACACAGACACACACACAGACACACGCAGACACACACAGACACACACAGACAGAGACACACACACACACAGACAGCACGCTAACCACTACACTACCGCTCCCCACACACCACACACGCACACACACAGACGCACACACAGACACAAAAAGACAAAGATCCCCCGTATAGCCTGAACAGACTGTAGGGGCAAGTGCTGTTAGCGAGCACCTATGAAGGCCGGAACGGTACACGAGGGGGTGGGTGGCCAGCACCACGCCCGACCGCCTTTGTCTCCCTAGTGGCGATGTTTACACACCGCACCAGGTACTCATTTAAGGCTGAGTCGACCTACACACACACAGACACACACACACAGACACAGGCAGCACGCTAAGCACTACACTACCGTTCCCCCTACACAACACACGCGCGCGCGTCCATAGGTACACATACACGCGCTTGCTGCAGACACACACGACTTTCAGGGTGCGTACGGCAGTAAACGACTGAAATAATAAAGCGGCAATGCTGCGCAAGGAACTCCTTAGACCTGCAACACATTTGTGTAATGCGAGCGTAAACACACAAACACATACAAACACATACACAATACACACACACATACATGCAGACACACAGACAGACACATAACACACATACATACACACACATACATACACAGAAACACATACACACACATACATAGACACACACATACATACACACAAACACATGCACACACGTACATACATACAGACACGCAGACATACACATAAAGACATAGAAAAAAACCCACATACATGCACACACACACAAACACATACACACACATACATACACACATACATACAGACACACAGACATACACATAAACACATACACACATATGTATGACCCGGCTTCGCCCGGGACTTGGATCCACGATGCCCGGCCGCCTTTGTCTCCCCAGTGACGATGTTCACACACGACAGCAGTTACGCGTTTGAGGCTGAGTGGACCTAGGGGAGGGCCAGGTCCGTTTCAAATAATCGTCAGCGGTGGTAGGGCGTGAGTTGGAATGGAACTGGGGTCGCTCAACCAGCTTAATGACTATTTGTACAAAGAACATATAAAGAATCGATTATAATAACCAGGCTACAGTCCACATTATAGACTGCCAGTACACGCAGTCAGCTTCATAAGCAGGCTAGAGTGTACATGATAGAGTGGCAGTACGCTCACCGAGCTTAATAAGCAGGCTACAGTCTACATGATAGACTGGCAGTACGCTGACCCAGCTTAATGACTATTTGTACAGTGAACATTAAAGTAATCGATTGTTGGCGCGTTGGGTTTAAAAGTAATATTAATTGCACACATTGTGGTGGGGGTGGAGTGAAGAGTAGGAAAAACTTTGATGAATTTACCTCAGAGTGGCGTGGTGGGTGTCGAGGCCTAGTAGCATGCAGAGCCTGCGGCCTCGCCTAAATTGCCCACCCGGCAGAGGCAGGGTACGGGTGGCGTGCCTTCCCCCCCCCCCTCAGCGCTCCAACAATACTGTGTAATGGCTATTATTTAATTATTTACGGAGCCTATGAAAGTGGCGAAGGCGTGGCTAGCCGTTGGCAGGGGCAACCGCCGTCCAATGAAACTGCAGCCCTTGGCGAAGGCGTGGCTAGCCGTTGCCAGGTCCAATGAAAGCGGCGAAGGCGTCGCTATCCGTTGCCAGGGGCAACCGCCGTCCAATTAAAGTGCGTATGGTCCGAAATCCACACACACACACAGAGACGGACAGACAGACATGCACGATTTTATATATATAGATTCTTGGAAAAGCCTCAAACGAATCAACATTTAAATTGTACCTGGTGCAGTGTGAAAACAGCTCTGGGGAGACAAAAGCTGCCAGGCATGGTAGTGGCCACATTAACCTCTTGTACTTTGCAACAGGCTTATTTAGGTGTGCACTAAAGGCTGTACAGGGAATATTTGTCTTTGTGTATGCATGTGCATCATGTGCTGGTATGTGAATGAGTATGACTGGAAGCATGACGCTCGCCACACAACCCGTATATAGTGTTAGCTTTTATAGGTGCTCACTAACAGCACTTGCCAGAGCAACTGAAAGGCTCTTTGGCGGATTTGTGTTTGGTTTGGCTGTGCACGCACGTACATGTGCGTGCGAGGGGAGCGGTGGTGTAGTGGTTAGCGCGCTACGAACCCAGCGACCCGAGTTCGAATCCCGCTCACGGACAACACCAGTGACGATTATCTGAACCGGTCCTGGGCCTCCCCTACGTCGACTCAGCCTCAAATGAATACTCGGTGCGGTGTGTAAACAATGCTACGGAGGAGACAAAGGCGGCTGGGCATGGTGTAGGCCACCCACGCCGTCGCGTACCGTGCCGGCCTTCGTAGGTGCTCGTGAACAGCACTTGCACCTGCAGTCTGTAAAGGCACCACGGGGGATGTGTTTCTGTGTGTACACGTACCCGCTTGGGATCAGGGTGCGAGTTGAGGGGCAGGAGAGCGATCATCTCTTGGTAGGCGAACTCATCGCGCTCCGTGCACTGGATGCAGCCGTCGAGAACCAGCACCGTCCCATACGACTTACTGAGGGCAACAACGCGAAATTGCTCCAGTCAACCGTCGCTACGCGAAGTCAACCGTCGCTACATTTTGTCGCCATAGGCAGTCACCCTCTTAACATCGGAGCACAGACAACCATCACTACACAATTATCCACCACTCCACCAGCTCCACCATCAACACGACAATTAACTATAATTGTGTTGCTGATCGCTGTCAGGTCAAACATAATCAGTGTTTCGCCAGAAAAGCCATACTCGCCTACGTCAACCAAAACATCTATTGTTTGTATATCAAACGTTTTAATTATACTGTATATATTTCATAAGTAAAATGTAACACGACCATCCTTAACACAAGTTGTCTGCTGCTTTTAAATGGTAAAGGAGGCACACACTCAATATTATGCATCCTGTTCTGGACAAATGTATAGCCTGGTATGCATCACAAGTATGTGGAATTTCCAAGACTGGCTTTAGGGCACCAAACATAGATTGGCACCTTCCCCCCAGCACCCCACCCCACACTAATTTGACGACTCCTATTATTGTCAACAATACACATTTTGAATGCACACACTTGGCATCGAGTCGTGTGCTTTTTTTTTTAAAACGTACTATTCGTAATGTAATGAACATCAGGCAAGCCTGGCAGTTGCGTAATGCATGTGCATTTTAAAGGCCCTGTGCAAAGCTGACAGTCCCACAGAACCGGTTGCTCACATTAATTATTAATAACACGACTGTGATTCAGATTCATTCCAGCAGTGAGTGAAGACTCGTATTGTGGCATTGACAACACAGAGGAACCAACCCCACCACTTAAGATTCATTCTGCGTATTCCGTCCATAGACTCCAGTTAGACACTGTCCAAGATCTCAAGTATCTATAGATCCTATTGTTAGAGAGATTACAGTATATCCAGACTAGTATTAGACACCATCTTAAGACCCCAGTGTCTGCGGACTAAGCGTTAGCATTTGCCTGTCATAGGAATATGGGATTTTAACTGCGCCATTGTGGCTACTTGGTGGGCAGCAGAGATCATTGATTGCAGCAATATCCAAAGTCTCTTATCTACAGACAATACTGTCAGAAACCGTCTGCAGACTCTTTCTCAAAACTCATGGTAGGGCAGCCTGTGATCCAGCACAGGCTAGAGTTGGTAGCTCGAGTAGATTCGTTAAACACCCAAACATGTTGGGCTGAGGTCGTCAGAATACGGCAAGCATTGCAACTGGGTTCATGAACTTACTGGTGCAGACCTTTGAGCGTTATTCCCTCGTGTTCGTGTTTTTTCTCCCGGAATCTACGGTTCCTCCACATGCTAAGCACTCATTAGCATACTCGGTCAAAATTACTTTAATTACCCGTGCTTTCGTGGGTAATTTACAGCAATTATCACTAATTATAGCAATACGATATATTGCGTTATCTCTGGTATTCTTCAAGGCAGTTCACATACTGTTATTTTTTTTACTCAAGTCTCACTGTAGCGTCACCGTTCCGTACATACTAAATTTAGTTCAGTCTACAGATTACATTACACCAGACACAGCGTATAGGATGCAGCTATAATATTAGTAGTTGTGCAATATTCCTCAAGGACCTGTACTCGTTATCTGCAGCAGAAACGCTTTTATTTTGCTTGCGGTGCTTTACACAGCACGGACCCTCCCCCCTTGTAAAATAAGCCGGGCAACTGGTTAAACGGGATCACCCGCGTAACAAATCAAAATAATTCGGAGATAAACTAAAACTTCTGTACAGCCAGTCCACACAGTGAGATATATTTAAAAAACAGGTTAAAGCAAGGCCGTAATTATATATATTAGGGGGCACACCCCCCCCCCCCCCCAATATTCAAATATGCTCAAAATGTCCCCCCCAATATATTGCTATAAAATAGATTTCTGGTTATATCATTGTGGTTATGGTTGTACTTTATTAAACCCTAATCTCTGCCATTACATACAATGAAACAAGAAAAGGTAAAAAACTAAAAAAACAGAGCAATGTAATACAATACACTATTAGACATTATTGTAAAGTCCATCCCATGTGTTAGTGAATTTTTTTATATTTTAGGCAGGAAATATAATAGTGTGTACACGCCCCGCGCAATGCGTCCCCACACACTCTGGCTCCTAGCCCGGCTTGGCACGAGTCTTGGTGGCGAGAGGGGAGTGGGGAAATGATGAAGACGACGCCGCCGCCACCACTGACAAACACGTGGCACGAGGCGGCATGATGCTGAATGGGGCGAGGGCGGGGAGGGAGTGCTTAGATGGGTCTAGGATTAGTTATATGCGTAACGTCGCCAAAATGTTTGATACTGCACCTTATATACTGTATATGGAAACAAGACGAGAGGAACTCCTACAGCTGTGTACGTTTGAAACGCAAATGGGTAACAAGGTATTTAATACAATTATACTGTTCCGCACTTAGTACAAATCGGTAGTGTGTCTACTTTCACGTGTGACACTTCTACAGTATAACAACGACATGTCGAGCTCTCAACCCAGCCGGCTCTCTCCTCCTCACCATGTTTAACTGAACTTTAATTTCCCTGCCACCTTTTAATTTCACGACCTTCACTGCCGTTCAACTCCGCCCGCCGATCACAACTCCACGTCACACACACGAGCTGAAGGTCCCGATCCACTCATTTGGTGCTGTTGTTACAGATTCACATTCATCACCACGATTCGGCAGTCTCTGTAGCTCGCTGTTGTAGTGCCACGCATCCTTTGCCACGTAACCCATCAACTCCCCCACCCCCATTATACTTGAGGTCATAACTTTACTAAAAAGCGGAGTACGTTTCACTCCATATGTACACGCCGTACCGGTTGTGGGGGGTTATTTGATCATACTTCACCGAGCTGGTCGTGCGCGGGCTAAAGGCGCAGGCATCGAATATACGGCAGCATAGCGGATACTTTACAACAATAGATTCTCTTGTTGCTGCTGCTGTTGCCCTTTGGCGTCCACAACGCAGGCAACAGCCGCACGGGCGCCTATGACAACCACCTGGCATGCGTGGCGTGCTCACTCGTCAAAGTGCTAACCCAGGCTAAATCCCCGCTGAGCTTGCGAGATCGGGAGCATTAGCGGGGTGGTTTTACGATGGGTCGAGTTAGTTCGGCAGGGCCGAGAGGAGAAAGTAACCGAGTTTGGGTGGGGGGGGGGGGTCGGTATCGCGCCCGGGCACAGCCGACCTCGGCCGGCGGGAAATCTATCCGAGCACCGGTGAGCCGCTAGGCCGCACCTCATTAAAGCGAAACCCCCGTCATAGCCGGGCACGCAACCCAGGGGCACGCACCTCCTGAAGACGAGGATGTCCTGGTACTTGGATCGTGCGCTGTGCAGGACCTCCTCGACCTGCAACGAGAGCGCCTGGCCCGGCCACAGGCTGCTCGTCTCCGTGAACCATCCGTCCCTGATCGAGTCCATCGCCGCCGCGGAGCCGCGAGGGGGCAGCAGCTTGCAACGTGATCGATTTATGGGTGGAGCTTAGTTCTCTTCCTGAAGAGGAAGATTCTTCCTGAAGAGGAAGATTCTTCTTCTTCAGGAAGAGTCTTCCATTTCAGGAAGAATCTTCCTGAAAAAAATTTCAAACAATAATTTTTTAGATTTTTATTATTTTATTGTTTCCCTTCTACGTGACTATACCGAAGGAACCAGCTTCCAGAAGACGTCTTTGTGTTTTTGCGTTACTCTAACTCTTCCTATTCTTTGTTCTTTCGTTGAAGTCACGTAGAAGGGAAACAGTAAAGTAATACAAATATCAAAAATAATTGTTTTATATTTTTATTATTCTTTACAATAAACAATCATTAAAATATAAGAATAAAAATATAAACAATTGTTTTATATTTTTATTCACCCGATTTACCCGATCTCACATTTACATGCAAATTTAATCTCTAGCCCCGCCCACGGACCCTTGGGCTATAACCATCTAAAATCTTAGCAACTCCCTGCCTTAGCAGTGCTCCCGACATATTCTTTCCTGCCTCAGCAGCTCTCCCACTATATTTTTCACCTGATGACGATTGCTTCTATTGCGATCGAAATGTCGTGATATATTTTATAAAGGTTTAAAATGGGAATAGCCCAAGTGTCAGAACGAAGTGGGCGGGGTAGTAAAATGAGATGGTTATGTTAATGTGAGAAATTAACATGTTAATGTAAAATCGGAGAGCAGCAGCCACGGCGAGGCTGGTGGGCGGAGGTGGTTATGTTAATTTGAGAAATTAACATGTTAATGTAAAATCGGAGAGCAGCCGCCATGGCTGAAGTGTTGGTAAACGATTTTATGAGTCCTGGAGGACTTAACACCGCAAGAAATGGAATTGCATGTCCCATCTTTAGTAGAATAAAACTAACATCGGAAGGTGACAAGATGGAAACCTCACAGCCAGTTATGACTTAAACTGGTTGATGACATCCTTCCGATGATTGCTGAGTTTGTACCCATTCTCTCGGTTGAAATTGTGTCTGTATATATGGATGGCTTCATGAATTAATCTTTGTTGATAGCCAGTGGGCTTACAAAGTACCTTCGTCTTAGAGAAATCAATTTCGTGTAAGCCAACTGCATTAAAACAATGATCAGCCACGGCTGAAGTGTTGGTCCTCCGGTGTTTCAAATCTGCCTCATGCTCATGAACACGGTCCGAGACATGTCGGTTAGTTTCCTCTAGGTAACTACTGCCGTAGACACAGCTGAGTTTGTAGACGCAAGGGTATTGCATGTCAGGGATCCTATCCATCACAGATGGGATCAGATCACACATTTTATGTACTGTGTTAAATCAAACCTGGATCTTGTGTTTGCTAATGATTTGGGAAAAAATTTGGTGACTCCTGCTATGTATGGAAAGGTGATGATCTTGATTGGGTCCTCAGATGGATCTTTCTCGACGGTTGGGGTGATAGCTTTATGGATTGTGTGGTTCGAATATCCATTCATATCGAGAGCTTGGTGCACGTGTTTCAGTTCACTGGCTCGGTGATGATGGTTGGAAATACATCGAGCTCTATGGTGTAAAATTTTGATGAGGGAATTCTTCCGTGATGGATGGTGGTGGGAGTCAGGTTTTAGGTAGGCATCAGTATGGATTGCTTTCCTGTAGACAGAGTGTCCCATTGAGCCATCTGGTCTCTTTTCGATTAGAACATCCAAGAATGGTAGCTTGGCATCTTTTTCCACCTCCATGGTGAATTTGATGGCTGGGTGTATGCAATTAATGTGGTTGAGGAATTGGTTCAGAGCTGGTCGGCCATGTGGCCAGATGACGAACGTGTCATCTACGTACCTCTTCAACAAGGACGGACCTAAAGTGGATGCCTGGATAGCATGTGTCTCAAATTTTTCCATGAAAACATTGGCTACAACCGGAGATAAGGGAGAACCCATTGGGTGCCTTCAACTTGTTTGTAAAATGTTCCATTCCAGGTGAAGTATGTGTTGGTGAGGAAGTGTCTCACCAGGGCCGGTACATCAGCATTCAATCCTTGATGAACCAAATATTCAATGATTGCAATGGTGTCATGCACGGGAACTTTGGTGAACAAAGAAACGACATCGAAACTAACGAGCAAATCACCTGAAGATAGTGAGATGTCCTTAATTAAGGATACCAAGTGAGCTAAGTACAGCTGAGGTGATCTTACCAGTGAATGGTTCTGAGGTCTCAGACAGAAACCAGGCCAGTTTCTAGGTGGGTGAGTCAATGGTGGAGACGATGGGACGAAGGGGTGTACCTCCTTTATGGATTTTGGTAAGCCATACAATCTGAGTGGTCTAGCAGCAGAGGGTTTTAAGGAAAACAGTTTGGTTTGTTCAATTAATGAAGCCGAATCAGTGATGATAGTGTTGGTTTTTGTAACGAGGCTGTTGGTGGGATTTCTTTTAATTTTTGTGAAGCTTCATTAAGTAGGTCCTGAATTTTGTTATTGTATGTGGGGTTGTCCATGATAACCGTGGCATTGCCCTTGTCGGCTGACCACCCAGATTGTATGGCTTACCAACATGTTAATTTCTCACGTGAAAATCACCACCTCCGCTCACTAGCACCGCCCACTTCGTCCTGACACTTGGGCTATACCCATTTTAAACCTTTAAAAGCAGGTTGTCTTCAGTAGCTTTCCCCCTTTTTCCTGCTGATGATGATCGCTTGCGTTGCGATCGAAACGTCGAAGTTTTTTGTCCATTTCATTATTTTGAACCTCCTACGTGACTTTTCCGTCAAGATTTACCCAAAAGACCCAAATAATATGAATTCCAGAAGTCTTATTTGCCTGTTTTTTACATTGGTCTACCTCTTCCGGACGACGCATTTTAGTTTTTTTACATTGTTCTACCTCTTCCAGAAGACGTATTTAAGTTTTATTTCTGTTTCGATACCTCTTTCAGAAGAAGCGCCCTGCTCTTCGGTGAGCGTGCCTTAATCTTCCACATAAATATTTGTGTTTTTTTAATACATTGCTCTATATCTTCCAGAAGTGGCGCTCTGCGCTTTCGATCGCCGGCCTCTACCGCTTCCATAAGAGGTATTTGGGTTTTTTTCATAATAAAAGGTCTTTTTTTGGGGTGAGATCACGTAAATATAAATGTGTCGTTAAACCCGCCGCCACCCGACACCGGCAATTAATGAAGTTTTGCCACGTAAACAAAAAAAATGGAAATTCGTTACTCGTTCAGCAATACCGATGTGCTGGAGAGTAAACGCACGTCATTTACAATTAGAGTACGACGTTTCGCTGATAATTACAACCAACATCATCAGGTGGGTTTTTTTTTACAATGGTCTCGCGCTTCCGGAAGACGCGCACTTCAGGATGTTTCACAAGGTTTGCGTCCCGAAAGAGACTTTTTATTTCAGGACGTCCTGCGTGCGCAATTCCACTGCGATCGCCAGCGTTCTTGTGGATCTGGGTGAGAATCTAGGATGGTGACAGCGGCGTGATCAATCCCAGGCAGCGGATTGGGACTCGTGCATGGATGACCTCATATATATGTGTAGTGACTGTGAATGTCACTGTGTGGTGCCGGGCTTGCGAGGCCACGGCGGATAATATGTTGCCATTATGTGCAGCCCGGTTACTGGGCGTAGTACCAGCCCTAGCGGGGCTTGAGTGAGCGCTGGTTAGCACAGAGGCACCATGTACAGTGTGCGGTGCGGGCTTCCGGTGAGGGAGCGAGAGAGAGTGTCAGCCAGCCAGGGTTACGTTGGAGCATGATATGCTGGTTGACCTGCCAACACGTGACCGGATGATATTGGAGCGGGGCCACATGTGGACGGAGGTCGCTGGGTGGTCATGTGGTATAGAGGAGCTCTCGGGAGCTTTCGGGAAAGGGCCAGAGAGATCTAGAAGGTGGGCGGGGTGAGAGGCGGAGCCAGCCCCAGCCCGGGCCGATATAACGGGGGCCCCGTGAGGGGCTCGGGGTTCTTGACTGTTGGTGAGAGAAGATCCACGTCGGATTGAAGAAGCCTCTAGCCACGCGGTCCGGGACCCAGCTCGTGGTCCGGACCGGGATAGCGGGACCGTGTCTAGTTCTGCCGTAGCGTGGTTAGATGGGCGTTCAACACCCGAGTGTCGGTTACATTGTGTTGTGTTGAGTTGATAAATAGTGTTGCTCCCAAGACAACGTCTGCGACTCAGTTGGACTCACTACATATGTACAGAACAAATAAAACAAGATCCCGTGTGTTTGAGAGTCATGGTTGTTGTATTGAGCGCGGTACGCTGATTGCCCATTCAAGATATAAAGGTTGTCTGCAGTGGTTGGCTTGAGGCAACCAGTAATGCTTCTGCAGGATTTGTTTAACATCGGATCGATCTTTTTAGCACGTACGAACGCCTTTTTCTTGCAGGGCACGCATACTCCACTGCTGAGAAGCAGAGAACCAGTGTGGTTGGTCTGAGTGTGGTAGATGCATTCACTCCCATATTAGTGTTGGCCAGTTTCCAGACGATGTTACATCATGAGCTGACCTTTGCCTTGGTTTTCTCGACATGTGCAATGTATGTCGGAGACTGTTACACTGATACAGGATTTGAGCAGTGGGCCAGTTTTACACCATTCCATGTGATGTTGAGTTCTGTTTGACACTCCTGTTCCTTATATAAGGAGCATCACGTTGGTCTTAAGATCGCCTCAGAGTTGCTTTTTCTCATCGTAGATTCGGTTTTGGAAAGTCGCCATCAGGGTAATTTCGACGTAGTGAAAGTCCTTTCCTCTGGCAGCCACACAGAGGCTCTCTGTGTAAATACAACTTCTGGTGCCCAGGTGGGTTGGCTGATTGTTGGTGTCGATGCTAAACAGTACAGTAATGTTCTTTGGTTCTTTCGGTTAAGTCACGTAGATTGAAAAAAAGAATTAAGTGAATAAAAATAAAAACCACGACGTATCGTCTTGAGGAGGAAAGAGGGGGAAGGTCACTGAAGGCAACCGTTTTTAAAGGTTTAAAAAATGGCCGTGGCACAAGTGCTCCGGTGGCGGAAAGAAGTAGCTGGGCATATGTGCCCTGGGGTCAGAGAGCACCAAGTTGAAGCACGGAACATGCAGTGCCACAAAACGTCCTGGTGTCAGAACGAAGTGGGCAGGGCATATGTGCCCTGGGGTAAGGTAATAAGAAAACACAAATCAAGTCATGACTTGACCTGTGCTCCCTTGACAATAAAACACAAATCAAGTGATGACCCAAAGTGGTTGATAACATCTTTCCAATGATTGCTGAGTTTGTATCCATCCTCTCAGTGGAAATTGTGTCTGTGTCTGTATATATGGATGGCTTCATGAACGTACCTTTGTTGATAGCCAGTAGGCTTGCAAAGTACCATCATCTTAGAGAAATATATTTCCTATAAGCCAACCGCGTTAAAATAATGATCAGCCACGGCAGAAGTATGGGTCCTACCGTGTTTCAAATCTCCCTTAAGCTCACAAACACGGTCCGAGACATATTCTTGGTTCTTTCGGTAAAGTCACGTAGAAGAGAAATAATAAATGATAAAAATAAAACATAAGATAAAATTCTCACGACGTTTTGGCCACAACGCAAGCAGCCGTCCTCAGGTGAAGAACGGGGCTGTCGGAAAGACAGCGTCCTAATGAACACTGCTAAGCTTGGCAGCGTATTTTTAAGCTGGGTCGGAAGAGGAGAGAACCTTGACAAAGGAGTTTACATATCAACAGAGGAATTTAGCATATTGATGACAAATGCAGATATGGGATTAGTCACTACTTGTGGAATGTGTAGGTGGTGGGGGGTCTCAAAGTCATATTATGCTAGTATATTATGTAAGATTAGCAGTGATAAAGGGAGAAAAATAGGATTAGCAGTAATAAAGGGAGGGAAATTTTTATAGTAAAGAGCTGCAGCAGCCAAACCACCGCGTATCAAGCTCGTGCATTGTGTGGGCAACAAAGAAGGAGTTTTTAAAGAACTACAAATACCCTACTACCATACAATACACCGATGTGAAAAAACTAAATATAGACTACATCAATATAATCAATAAACTCAATATACTCTCCAATAAGCTGAGCTACTAACAATATACATTACACTTATATGTCGACACCGTACTATGCACTGCCATAGACAAACCCCAACATTGAATTATACACTGCGTTACTATACACTACCCTATACCTTAGACTATACATTGTAATATAACACTATGTATTATTATACAAACCCTAATGTATACCACACAGCTGTATATTCACTATACAATTATGATACTATATATTACCTTATACATTCTAATAAACATTACACTATTATACTATTTATTATTATCCAATCTGTTATAAACCATACCATTGACAGTCACGTGAAGGTACTAAGGGGAAGCAAATAAATATGTCAATGGGAGAGTGGTAGAAGGAAACTTGCAGTGGCGCAAAGACTCCGATTCGTGAAGAGAAAACATAAGCTATATCGTCAATGCCAGCGAATGTAATGCGGTCTGAAAGTCACCGTAAACATGAACACAATTGTAATAAAGGTCGTTGAAGCGACTTCTGGAATCCGGTCTTTATTCGTCTTTCGTTACAACACTCCTTCACGCTGCTGACAGACAGCGTGAGAGGGATAGAAAGAGAGAGACGCGCGCAGCCACGTGGCAGCCTGGACCCCCGCTCTCGCGTGGCCTCTTCCCTTCGTTCGTTCCAGTTCTGACCACGTGTTGTTCGTCTCTACCCCTATTTGATACCCGGGTCACGTGGTACGTTTCCACCAATCCTGGTTAGCCTCTATGGAATCTTCCAGACTCCACCGTAGGCTCCCGGGACCACGCCCCTGACTCATCTCCCCATTGGCTGTGGCTAAAGCCAGCAGAACCAATCCTCTACTTACAGCTGTCACCTTTCCATTACGTCAGGGTCGCGCCTCTAGGCTTCCCCCCATTGGCTATGGACCAGGACCGGCAGAGCCAATCATCGTGACGAGTTGTGATCCGTCAACGACCCGGATATATCCTCACATTACACAATCAATCAAGACCCGAAATGGTTTATCACGTCCTTCCAATGATTGCTGAGCCAGAATCCATCTTCTTGGTTGAAATTGTCTCTGTGTTTGTATATGTCGATGGCCTCATGAACGAATCTCTCATGGTAGCCGAATGGCTTGCAGAGAACCTCCGTCTTGGAGAAGTCAATGTCAGCTTTAAATCGAATAGGTCCGAGACATGTCGCTTAGTTTCCCCAATGTAACTGCTGCCGAAGATACAGCTTAGTTTGGAGACGCCTGGATATTGCATGTCAAGGATTTTGTCCTTCACAGATGGGATTAGATCACGAATTTTATGTCCTGTGTTAAATCGGACCTGGATCTTGTGTTCATGATCGGAAATCTTTTTGGTTACCCCTGCTATGTATTGCAAGGTGAGGGTTTTGATTGGACCCTCAGATGGCTCCTTCCTCTTGGTTGGGGTGATGGCTTTGCGTATTGTGTGGTCAGAATATCAATTCGCCTTGAGAGCTTGGTGTACGTGTTTGAGTACACTGGTTAGGTGTTCATGGTCGGAGATACATTGAACTCTATGGTGTAGAGTTTTGATGAGGGAATTCTTCTGGGATGGATGGTGGTGGGAGTCAAGTTTTAGGTAGGCATCGGTATGGGTTACTTTCCTGTAGACAAAATGGCTCATTGAGCTATCTGGTCTCTTTTTGATTAGGACATCCAAGAAAGGTAGCTTGCCATCCTTTTCTACCTCCATGGTGGACAGCTCTGAGTCGACAGCGAGCTGCGTGTTCCCAGCACACTGCAGCAGTGGATGGAGCCTACTAATCAACGCTCCCTGGTGGGACTTGAGATATTTTCGGATACGGAGGAGACGGAAGACGAACACTGACTCCTAAACGCACCCACCACGTGACCACACTGCTTACAGTTCGTGACGCCACCTCATGCAAGGATCGCAGGAGAACGAACTCACATCACTATATATCATAACTGGTGGACCATGTATCATGATTGCCACCCTGATACACAAATCAACGGCACGCATATCGCGATCCGGTTGAATATTACCGTTTTGAGATATTCGCTGTTTTTTTATCGCATAATCTTGCTAATTTGATCGTTGATGTTCGTCTAATCATCGTGTAGCATCGGAAATACGTTTGCACACACCGCTTATGTGCACTTACCTGCAGTTACGGCCAGGGGTCTGTAGGGGGTGCCAGCCAGTACAAGAGGATAGAAAGAGAGCCGGACCACAGAGAGGCCGGATTCCCCTCCCCTACCCCAGGTGAGGGGCTGGGGGGGGGCTTTCCAGGACCCATCGGAAGGTTCCAGAAAGGGGGCGGAGAGTCTCTCAGGTCGGCTTGGGGGAGTGGTACGAAGACGAAGACTGAAGACCAGCTAGGCGAGGACCCTGGAACCCCGGGACCTGACGTCCTTATAAGGGCCGGGGCCGAGCGTGGACCAGTGGTCAGGACCCGCACCTTGGCTGGGTCGGGTCAGTCAGTCTCCCCTAGGTCACCCCTAGCCAGAGGGCTTTATATTACCCCAACTGACAGGGCACGTTAGCCCGGAGGCTGTACCTCCTTAATGAGCGGGGTAAAGGGGGTATCGTGTTACATTGTTATAAATAAAGTGTTGCCTCTAAGTTACGTCGCAAGTCTCCTGGAAAGCTTCAAATCAAGTTTGAACCCCCTCTACGGGGAGGATATAAGTTTGTCTTCTCTCTCTGTGTGTCAATGTCAAATTTCACACTTAACTTCTGATTTATCCATCTCTGGAGAATGTAATCAACCAGGCTACGTGTTAACTGTGTGTTAGCCGACTCTCTGCGTTGCATTGCATTACATTTCCAAAAAAATTGCTAAGTTTGTTTTCTGAAACTGCCTATTTCTCAATCAAATTACCCAGGCTCTCATAGGTCCATTCGCTCTTTCCCTACCCTGGCCGCTTCGGGGTTGGTTTCCACACAACTCTCTCTAAAATATACCAGTCTTGACCAGACTTGCTGGGTCTTTCTCTCCCCCTCCCGCTGCGGGGTGGATTTCCACACAGCTCTCTCATTAACATGCTAATTCCTCTGCTCCAGCAGACCCACATCTCTCTGCCCCCTCTCTCTATTTAAGGCCACGACACAGAGGCATTGGGTCTCTGTCTGTCTATGTTGTGTGTCTCTCTCTCTGTGTGTCTCGGTGTCTGTGTTTTGTCTCTCTCTCAAGTTTAGTTCTACTTGTTGACGGTTGCTTGTGTTGTAATCGAAACGTCGTATTCTATTATTTAATTTATTTTCTTTCTACGTGGCTTTACCGAAAGAACCAGAGTAATTCCTGCAGTTACAAAAGCTTCAAATCAAGTTTAATCACACTTAAATACAAATATTAACACATTTTACATAAATGTTCACATTTTTATATTTAATATTTACATTTCTTATCACAATATATACAACAATTCCCATTCACAACCAACATCAGCGACATCGGGAATCAAGGCAAGTGAAGTTAAAACTGATTTTTCTTTATATTTACCAGCATTTTTTTGGTATGTTATGTACACTACAATATTTATCTATATATATATAAAAGGAAAATTTGTGAATATGTGTTTGTCTGAAATGTTTATCATACTTCCCGACATGCAACACACTTGAAATTTGGCATATGGGTAGCTTCCAGACTGTATTAATCCCAGACGAGAATCCAAGTCTCGGGCGAAGCCGGGTAGTAAAGCTAGTTACAGTATCAAATGCCAATGTACAATATTTCCTATGAGTTTAACAATGTTTCCCTTTTTAAAACGGTAAAAAATTTATAGCAATGAGTTACGTGCATTTAAATATAATACATTTTTGACGACCGACTTATAAAACCGTTCGACTTATGAACAGGTCCCAGGAATGAAACCTGTTTATAAGTCGAGGGCTGCCCATATATTTTACAATATTAAAAAAATGTAATCCCCCTCTCCACTTCTGCCACAACCACAGACCAACTTAATAAGAGCGCGTCCGATCCGACGCAATCTCTTGCAGATGGTTAGTGATTTGGATTTGGGGATCTGCATTTTATCTGCACTGTTCATGTCACTCTGCACCATGGCTTGCTTTTGTTCAGCATCGTGAGGCTTAGAGTCTGCCTTGACCGTGCTCTCGGAGTCCAGGAGAGGGTTAACAGTGTGGTCTGCGTTTATAGGCAGAGACAATGTGGAGCCCATGCTCGTCTCGGCTCCATTTTGGGTCGTCTCGGCTCCATTTTGGGTCGTCTCGGCTCCCTTTTGGGTCGTCTCGGCTCCATTTTGGGTCGTCTCATCGATTGCCTCAATTGAAATAGGATATTCCTCAACATTCAGAGGCTTGATGTCCACATTAATTATGGTCTCCGACTCTGGGAGACAGTCAGAAATTGATGCTGTAAGAGACACAGTAGTGTTAAAATCTTCCACCTGAATGCTGCATTTTGTGGTGGATGTTGAGCTAGTGGCTGTAGGCATCTCCCATTCCAAAATGGTTTCGATAAAAGACCCAATAGAGATAGAAACCAGGAAGGCGTCAGTGCTTGGCTGAATGAAGGGGATTGGAACGGCGGCTGGAGGTGGAAGGGAAATGAAACTGGACACCTTAGGAGCCAAAATGGCAATTGCCACTCCGGAAAAGCTGCTGCAAAATGATGAGACTGGAATTTGTCCAGGAGAAGTAAGTTGTGGAATTGAGGGAAGGTGGCAAGGTGCTGGAGCCAGGATGGAGGAGTTATTGGGGTCCGAGTCCAGGAAGCATAATTTGTAGGGGTCCATTGTCGTGGAAGTGAAGTTGTTGGAGTCCAGAGTTGCGAAGGCCTTGGTTGACGGAGCCAGATGGGAGTTGATCTTGCATGCCGGTGCCTGGTGAAATCCAGGTGGTGGAGCTGGAGCTGCACTCATCCATGGCTGCATGAGAGCACTTTCCGGAGTTAGGCGGTCATCTGGGTTCCAGCTGAAAACAAAGAGACAAGTACCGATGAGAAGATCAGCAAAATATACATGCCCACATTACACATTATGGTGATACAATGAACTGACATCCACTTGACAAAGTAAGGGTTTGCAGGTAAGTGAAGTTAAGTATGGTAAGTCCTCGCTCAAAGTGTGCTTACACAACGCGTTATCGCGAAAATACATTTCTTCCATTTGGGAACGGGCTTTCCGAGTGCTTCACGCCAAATTACTTTATTCAGCTGCGTGGCTGAGCAATATCGGAATTCTGGGTTTCCGCGCGGAATTATATAATGATATAGTACGCGTTGGCATACCCTCACAGTTCCTTTTTTCGCCATGGGATGACTGCAGGCTAATTTAATAGTGAAAATGTGCAAATGTGCATGGTTTTTATTTGTTATCTCTGTAATGTGTTAACGGTAATTCCTCACTAAATGCATTTTTTCTGAATGCAACACTTTTCATAAACGCATCTACTACCGCGTTAAATGACGAATTAGAGTACTGCATTGTTCTTTCATTCTTTACCTAGTTTCTTCTGCAACGAGATGCAGACTTGCTATACTTTGCAAAGGGGATGCGTATTTCCTTATGATATAGAAACTGACTTGAATTTGTTAAAGTTGAGGGAAAGTCAAAGAGTGGGATTCTCACCATAGGATGGACCTGATGAAGTCCAGGAACAATGGGTCTCTTGTTTTCAGAAACTCCTTGAGCGGGCAACACTGAGGGGTCTCCTGCAGACATTCCTCGGTGAGTTGCCCAAAGAAGTCTGCAGTGGGTACAATCGCAAATGATGTCATGCATTAGAATATTATTCATGTGTACAAGGCTGTGTTCTATAATTAAGGCTGTGAAGGACGTGGGGGAAACAACCCAACTTTCACGTCATTGTGCAGCCAGATGAGTGATGTTATAACACCGAATCACGTATTAAAAATAAAATTAGCATTACTCACGGAAATACCGATGACCGTCTGGTGCAGCGTGCAGCATCTTTAAGGGTGGTGTTCCCACAATCTGAAAATAAACGATACATTTTTCTTTACGTATTTACATGCATGGTTTGTATCCTATTGATTCAATTATTAATAATTGAGTAAACACTTGAAGTCACGTTAAACTAAGCAGTAAGTTAACTCAAAGTAAAACGATCACTGAGGCAGTGATCATCGCCTGGCTGCGCCTTGAGTGAATAGTAAAACTCTGCATTCCTACGGCAACGGCGAATCTACTTCTATGTCAACCAATGTCGACTTCCCCAAAAAGTGGCACTCATTTAATCGACACTGGAGGGCTGAATAAACTCACAACGTTGCGATTGCGAGCCAATTACTCAACCGCTGAGCCAACATAGAACTGCAACAACCAATCAAACATGAAACACTTTCCGTAATAAAATAGTTAAATCAATTAATTACGAAACGAATCTTACCTTTGTGATCCCAGCAACCTCCTCATTTCTGTTGGTTCTTGGCAGCAGTCGTTTCCCAACAGAGATCTCGGCCAGTATGCAGCCTGCAGCCCACATGTCAACTGCTGTTCCGAACGGCAGGGCCAGCAAGACCTCGGGAGCCTGGTATCCAGGCGTCCCAAAGATATGGTCGGCTGGAGAAAAAATAAGAATACAGTACAGGTCTTTCATAGCTAATGCAACTTTTAAGTCTATGTCACTCTGCAGCACAGACACTTTTTAAATGAATTCTGTCAACTTTCTCAGTTTCATTATTGGCAAAAAAACGTACATTCAGTCGTTTGAAATATCAGGTCCCGCCATAGGTGGGCATTACTAGGTCCCAAGAATAAATGGACCAGCTCTAAAGGGTTAAGTGGATGATCGGAGTCACAGTTTTACTGCAAGAATCTCCAATGTGTTCTCGCCCTGTCCTGCATGATATGTGAAAGGACGTGATTTTACACGGAAGTGGACATTCCCAATGCGCTGTTGTGAAACGGAGATCGCAAGGCGTTGTAATCATACCTCGTGTGGAGCTACCATGCACAGGCAGCACTGTGTTCAGCTCTTGTAATATCACATATGTTAATTTAACATTATCATCGTTCACGCAATTTGCATGAACGATGCTATAGAAAACAAAACATTGTTATTCCATATAACAGGATCTGTAGGAAGATTTAGAAATGCTACGGTATGTATAAATGTATATAAAGTGTAACGTACGAGGTTCATTGTCAAAAAAACTTCCTCCGAAGTCGGCCAATCGGATGGCTGCCGTGTGGTGATCTTTCACCAAGATGTTTTCCTGAAAGAAATATGAGAATGGAAGCATTTTATATATATGTTATTTAACCAGATGAGGATCCGTTAAAATGATCACTGTCTGCATAGAAAATGGCGTTCATTTTGCACTGTCCATCAAACGTTAAAAGTGTTTATGCATTATCTATGTCCGTTTGTAATGGAGAGGGAAGCAGGGGGATCAATAACTCTCGTGAAAATTATCTAATATGAAATCTTGCAATGAAGTTGTTCATGAAAACAAGACGATTATAATTAGAAGAATTGCCAAACGACTCTTCTTATCAGCAATAACAGAGTTGTTCCACAATGCAGGATGGTAAAAAAAAAACTCAAATATTACGTATAAGAAGAAAAATAGAGCCACGGATCATTAGTGGTTTTATAGACTCGACACTTCCCCATGTATAATGGGAGTCATGGGTAATATTGTCACGGATAAGAGCTCCACTGTATGAGGCAGCTGCTGTGATGGGAATTAAACTGGCCAGTGTATGTGCATCATGCAGTGTATGTGCATGAGGCACATAAACTGCTAAATCCGCTTTAAAGATCACAGTGAAGGTGCAGCCCTGCAATTACTTGCTCGCCCCTCTACTTATAGAAAAGCCTCCGCCATGGGTAGTTGAAGTGAGCCCCTCTAGATGGTTTTGGGCTACTGTTACACAGCGTCAAATGTCTCGGAAGAAGGGGAAGTACCCACACTTCACCCCGCCACTCGTGACATGATTAACTGTGGAGTACCTATTTATACTGATGGGTGTATAGAAGTGGTGGGTGGGTGGAGTTGGGATTTGAGAACCTGTCCACTGTTATAATTGCCAAGCCAGAGGATCAATTTAACCAATTCCCTCTGGGTTTCAAGTCTCGTGTGAGATCCAGACACCATGACAGCGTCCCTTAGACCTGTTTAATTCCTCTAAAAGAGATATTAATGATAATTGTTTTTTTACCCTTCTATCTGGCAACAAAACTGACGCCTTTTTTTACAAGGAGTCAAAAAAAAGGTGTCAGTTTTGTTGCCAGATGGAAAGGTAAAAAAACAATTATCATATTTTTTTACTGGCAAATGAGGTTCCAATGGAGATATTAATGATAAACCCTTACCAGCTTGAGGTCCCCGTGGACTAAGCCGTTCTTCTTCAGGAAGGCCAGCACTTCCATCAGGGGCTGGGCATATCTCTTGACGGAGGACAGAGTAAATGCTCCGTTCGCTTTCAGAACGTCAAAGAGGCTGCCCATGCTGATAACAGAAAACGAACACAGTGCAACATGGTTAAACAGCATGAAGCACAAAGGCACCAGCTCATCCACACATGCAAGTACTTGAACACTGAGGGTGAGGTAAGGCATTCGACGGGTAACAATTACTTGAATACGTGCTGACTGCAGAGTTTTTTTACCACTGGGCATGACTGGGTCCCGAGAATTGACAAACCAGCTATGAAATGGTTAATGCAGCTACTTATCAACAATGCAGTGTAGCATAGCTTAGGATTGAGTACTGATGTGGATCAATCAGCTGCCAAGCTTATATTTGTATACATCCTGCAAGTGTCACGGTTGTAATGGACTTAGTGTTATTACCTGATGTAGTCCAACACGATATAATGGTAATCTCCCACGACAAAGTCTTCCTCGAACCGGATGATGCTATTGTGCCTCAGCAGTTTGAGGAAGACAGCCTCACGATATGCTTGCACTTCCTTGATGCTGCGTGAAGAAATACAAACACTTATGAGAATGTTGGAAATTGCATCATCATTAAAACGGAAAACGTATTGCATCTTGTCTAGGTAGGCACACGTGAGATTCTCTGACAGGAAACTACTTTTCAGTGAAGATTGTGAAGCACATCATTACTTGGTCTCTCTCTCACCTTAATGTGATGTCAATCTTCTTGAAGGCCATCTCCTTGTGGTCCCTGTGGTCCCAGCATTTGTACACCTCGCCAAATGTTCCTTCGTCTAGTTTTTCCAAAACCGCATAACGATTGTTGAGGAGATTACTCGCCATCTGGTCAAGAGAGAGTGTTGCAGTAAGAGCAAGATCAATAAGTACAGTGACAGTTTCGATAGTAGCTTCCTAACCCCTCCTTACTCTGAGTGATACAGCAGAAGGCCTACCTCAAAATCAGTTTCAATTAATAATCAATATGAGGTTTACTCAGCCAAGCATTCTCCTAGGGTTGATAAAATAGGAACCACTTTGTGAGTCGAGAGAGGTTGCCTCATGGAAAGACTGGTCTTGGCCAGAAAAATGTGGATTTGACGGCAATTGCTCATGGCCACACGTGGGGGTTTGTGAGTTTATGTGAACAGACACTTTGATTATTTAAAATTATCCGGGCCTATTAACGGGTTATGACATTAAATTGGCCAAATAAGTGCTCAAATGGTCCTGAACAATTGTTGCACCCAGTCTAATCAATTGTAAGCAAGCACAGCCCTTCAATTGCTTGCTCATATAGCTTATGGTGAAAGGGGCTCCACGGGAGGGATCTCTATCGAGTAGTCTATCTGCTATTTCACGCTAATGAGACGTATTGATAAAGGTGGGAGTGGCCACATTCTACCACATCAAACACGACATGCTGCCAAACTACGAACTGTGGTGTAACATTTTCACTTCTGGGTGAACATTAAATACACCCAAGAGGAGGGCTTCCATGGAGATGGAGCAATGAAATCAGCTCGTTTGTAGATACTAGGTGGATTGTTGCATCGAATGACTTTAGGGAGATAGTAAAGGCTTATCAGACCTTCATCCACCAGTAGATTAATCATGTCTGATAACCTTTATTTCTTTCTTGCAAACATTCTACAAGTTCATGACATTTATCTCCCTTATCTACTTCTCTCATATCGCGAAATAGGTATATCTTACTCTTTGGTTCTTTCGGTAAAGTCACGTAGGTAGAAAAATAATAGATCACGACGTTTCGATCACAATATAAATAAGCGATCGTCTTCAGGAGGAAAGAGGGGGAGGTCACCGAAGGCAACCGTTTTTAAAGGTTTCTAAAAAGTGGGCGTGGCACAAGCGCTGCGGTGGTGGAAGCATGGAACATGCAGTGGCAACAAAACGTCCTGGTGTCAGAACGAAGTGGGCGGGGTATATGTGCCCTGGGGTAAGGTAACATGAAAACACAAATCAAGTCATGACTTGACCTGTGCTCCCTTAACAAGAGAACACAAATCAAGTCATGACTCAACGCGGTTGATGACATCTTTCCAATGATTTCTGAGTTTGTACCCATCTTCTCGGTTGAAATCGTGTCTGTATACAGTATATGGATGGCTTCATGAACGAATCTTTGTTGATAGCCAGTGGGCTTGCAAAGTACCATCGTCTTAAAGATATCAATTTCGTGTGAGCCAGCAACATTAAAATAATGATCAGCCGCGGCAGAAGTATTGGTCCTACCGTGGTTCAGATCTGCCTTATGCTCATGAAAATGGTCCGAGACATGTCGCTTAGTTTCTCCAATGTAACTGCTGCTGCAGACACAGCGTAGTTTGTACACATATGTCAGGGATCTTGTCCTTCAAATATGGGATAAGATCATGAATATCATGTACTGTGTTAAAACGGACTTGGATCTTGTGTTTGTTCATGATTTTTGAAAAATGTTTGGCTACCCCTGCTATGTATGGTAAGGTGATGGTTTTGCTTTGATCCTCAAATGGTTCCTTCCTCATGGTAGGGGTGATGGCTTTGTGGATTGTGTTGTCATAGTATCCATTCGCCTTGAGAGCTTGGTGTACGTGTTTGAGTTCACTTGTTAGGTGTTCATAGTCGGATAAACATTGAGCTCTATGGTGTAGAGATTTGATGAGGGAATTCTTCCGGGATGGATAGTGGTGGGAGTCAGGTTTTAGGTAGGCATCACTATGGGTTGCTTTCCTGGAGACAGAATGGCTCATTGAGCCATCTGGTCTCTTTTTGATTAGGACATCCAAGAAAGGTAGATTGCCATCCTTTTCTACCTCCATGGTGAATTTGATGGCTGGGTGTATGGAATTTACGTGGTTGAGGAATTGGTTCAGAGCCGATCAGCCATGTGGCCAGATGACAAACGTGTCATCCACGTACCTCTTCCGCAAGGACAGGCGTGGAGTGGATGCCTGGATGGCGTCCGTCTCAAATTTTTCCATGAAAACATTGGCTACAACTGGAGATATTTGAGAACCCATTGGTGTGCCTTCAGTTTGTTTGTAGAATGTTCCATTCCCGGTAAAGTATGTATTGGTGAGGCAGTGTCTCACCAGAGCCAGTACATCAACATTACATCCTTATTGGACCAAATCTTCAATATTTGCAATGGTATCAGGCACAGGAACTTTGGTGACTACATCGAAACTACATCGAAACTGACGAGCAAATCACCTGGGGACAGTGAAATGTCCTTAATTGACGATATGAGGTGAGCTGAGTTAAGTACATAAGAGGTGGTCTAACCAGTAAATGACTGTAAGGTCTCAGACAGATATCGACCCAGTTTGTAGGTGGGTGAGCCAATGGTGGAGACGATGGGACGAAGGGGTGTACCTTCTTTATGGATTTTGGTAAGCCATATAATCTGGGTGGTCAAGCAGCAGAAGGTTTTAAGAAAAAATGTTTGTTTTGTTCAACTAATGAATCTGAATCAGTGATTATACTGTTCATTTTTGAAACGAGGCTGTTGGTGAGATCTTTGAAGTTTTTGTGTAGCTTCCATAATTCAGTAGGTCATGAATTTTGTTGTTGTACACAGTTTTGTCCACTTTACTTTTTTCATATCTTCGTGACTTTATCGAAAGTACGAAAGAATATGAATTCCTGCAGTCATTAAAGTTTTAAGACAAAAGATTCTGATACAGTCATACCTCGGTATACGGCCGCTTTGGAATACGTTGAATTTGGTGCACGTCGTGTTTTGACGAAAACAAAATGTCTTGGGATACGTCGTCTTGCTTGGGATACGACGTCTTGCTTGGGATACGACGCGCTTGCTAGAACTTGTATGGGTCGGGATGAGTCACCACGTACCCGCGTAGAACCCGTTCACGACTGAAACAAAGCGCCGCTCCTCAGTCTGCATGTACAGTAGATCTCGTTCAGTGCACAATTCTTGCTATAACTCTCTGTGAATTTCACGTGTTTTTTGTCATTTTAACTCCTCTCAGCAAGGTAAAGTGACGTAAAAAATGTATTTTTATTCCTATTTATTTGAATTTATTTATGCATTTTAGTACTAAGTAGTGTCTAAAGTATTTTATACAATCCCATTAATGTATAATATGCCATATAAAATATCATTTCATATACTCTGGAACGGATTATTTCCTTTCCCTTTATTTCTTATGGGAAAAATTCGTTTGGTGTACGTCATTTTCGGTCTAAGTCCTACCTTCTGGGACGAATTAACGACGTATACCGAGGTACCACTGTACTTGTAATTTTGGTTTATATCATAGCTTTAAATTTTCCTTAATAAATAAATACAAATATATAGTTTATTACCTTGCGTTGAGAATAAAAAATATCTTGAAGTTTGGGAGACTCGATTTTGCTGCTCGCAGCCGTCGTGGGGACCCAAACGCTCTCCAGGTTGTCGTCACCAATCAGGTTAGTGACGTCAGCTGCACAGCTCCTCCCCCTTCTGGTGTAGCCACGCCCCTCCAGCTATAGCCCCGCCCCTCCAACTGTAGCCCCCCCTCCAACTGTAGCCCCGCCCCTCCAGCTGTAGCCCCGCCCCTCTCACGCCACTCCCCCAACACGGGCCCCGCCTCTATGGTGGCCACTGTCTCTCCCACGGGCACGGCTGCTGTACATTGGAGCCCACGTTCTCTATCCGTGTCCTCCCCACATCTATCCCATCTCCATGGAGAAGCCGGAGCCGTGCAAGAAAGCTCGAGATGTTGCGTGGCGGGGTCCGTCTCCCCCCGTCTCAGCATCGCGTCCGCGGGAATCGCGTGCGCGCGGCCTAGTATTCCGCGGTGCCTACCGCCTTGCCTGGACTCTGCGGCCAGGCAAGGCGCGCGACCTGGTGTGGAAGATATCGGGGAGATGTGCGAGTGTGTGGGAAGTGTTGGAACGGGTTTCGCTTCTCTCACACATCCGTGTCTCTGTGTCGTGAGCTCTCTAACTGGTGCTGCAGGTTATCTTGCTGGTGGCTGTCCTGTACGTGGCAAATAACCCAGCACTGTTATGGTCACTCAAACTTTGTTACTACCTCGTCTGCCGTGCAATATTCATTATACACCCTGAACTCGTTCTCTGCGATACTGATGATGTTGCTGTGTTCACGTACCACGGACCTTGTAAAGTATCCGGTAAGTTGGCTACACGGAATCATTTGTGCAACATGAAATAAAATGATAACTCAAACAAAATTGTCTTGTATCAGAGTTACTTCCTGACAGTGATCTGTTAGGATAGTCCCGAGTGTTGTAGTTTATTTTCACGTGTCTCTGTGTTGCTGTTTGTGGTTCTGTTGTGTTGTGGTGGTTTTGTTGTATTAGGGGCATTTGAGGCTTGGTGGTGTTCATTCGGTGGTGGTGCTGGTCTTGTTCGTGGTGGTCTAATTGTGGAACGAGTGCTGTGGTGAGGTATTCGGTTTGTATTGCTTGTATTGGTGGTGTTGTGTTGGCGGTGATCGTTTTATATGTATGTGTTGAACTTTTTTCGTTTTGTTGTGTTCGTAGAACAGGCTTCCCCCATTCAGAGCTTTCAAGTATCAGGACCCATGCCAACGATGCTAATGCATTTGTAGTGACTTAACTCGGAGACGCTTAGACTTGGAGGCATTTCTTTAATTTAACCGAGCACCCTTTATATAATACACACGCTACACTGGTCCACACTCTTCTGTCGCTCGCTTATACACAACTCTACGTCGGTTGCTAGCCTATACACAACACTAGCCATCAAACACTGACGGTGCTGAACCGAGACTGCCAACTACTGTCTAGCAACGCAATATCGAGTGAAGACGACAGCGACCATGGCGACGATCTTCAACAACACGACGGGTATCCCACTCCAAATGACAGCCCCGAGCTCTCGCTCAGGGCCCCCTTTTATGTTCCCGGTGTGGCCTCGCTCCGCCCCGGCCACGTCCCCTGTCTAGAACTTGCCAGCGGGTTCCTGGGGCTTCCCCCTGTGCCCCCTTCTGTAACCTTTCCCCCAGATTTCCCCCTCTGGTGTATCGCCCGGCCTGTTGTAAGCCACAGATCCCCTTCCCTGCCAGCAGCCAGCGCTATACTGCTAAATTAATTATTCTATGCCACTACACATTGATGCCAGTATTTTGATATTTGTATTCACCTGCATACACCGATTGTACCACAATTACATTACTGTGTGTGTGTACCTGTGCATATGCAGGTCTGTTAACCAGCATTTGTATATTTTACATATTACAAATGCATGATCACAGACTTGTACAGGCATATTCTTGAACCAAGAATATTCTTGAACCAAGAATATGAATCCCTGCAGTCACGAAAGCTTTAAATCAAAATTTGTACAATCATGTTTAAAGAAAATAAACCAAATTAGATCCATTTCGAAACCCACTGTTGTATGAAGACCTCCCCACGCTATGTCGGCCCTAGATCACTATACTTCACCTCGCTGGTCAATGCAGATTGAGAAAGGGTTCCCAAAAACCAGTTCAGATAACCGCTTGCCTCTGATGTCAGTCATGGCCAGAAATCGAACTAAGGTCACCAAATTTATTGCGAAGTGAGCTAACCAATGGAGCACTGCCCAACTCCTTACATTTCTATATGACGTAGATAACTTTATTTATCCAATGTGAGATCAAAGTGCGCAAAGAAGCACGGGGAGGCGACAGACAAATAGGAATAGATGGATCAACGACCGACAGAAAAAGAGGCGTTTACTTGTCAATAATAGAGTTTGTTTTTCATATCAGTTATATTTCACTTGCTTTTATCTTTATCACGTCATGAAATTAATGTACTCTCACAGAGAGCAGTGTACTCTGTTGTGTCAGAAAATAGCTGTGGAAGATGTCAGAATTGGTTCAGAATTTCCTCGAATAATGATTATCCCGTTCAACCAGTTTCCTGGTTATTTTACAAGGGAGATCCATAGAGCAGTGCGCAAGCACAGCAACAACAGAACAAATACGTCAACATTACAGAGAATAAGTACAGGATCCTTAAGGAATATTGCACAACTAACGATTGAGCTATTTGACCTTGGTACGCGAATCAGACGTGAATTAAAAACAGTGCAACTGTAATATGACAAGTTTGATACAGGTGCACATAAGCTCTATTTTCATTTAACAGTGATGTAAACACAAATCGAAAAAGGTTTATCCATACAAGGGATACCGTGTTAATACCTAAAAAAGTATGAATTGCTTGTTGGTAATAGTTTAAATTTGTCTGTTCAATTAAAATAGATTAAGTGAAACCCACATTTAATTAAAAATTTCTCGCAGTCATTGGTGACCAGGCTGATTATATTAACTCTCTAAACTCGAGGATCTAAATGAACAGTAATATCTTAATCGCTCACTCTTGAAGAGAGAACTACTCGGAGGTGCGAGGAACCACAACTTGGCAAATCAGCCACGGGGGGCGCCTCACGCCCTGCTGACACGTCTTTTCAATTCTAGATTTGAAGCTTTCGTGACTGCAAGGATTCATATTCTTAGGTTTTTTCGGTAAAGCCACGGAGGTAAAACATTAAAATTAATAAAAGTAAAATAAAATAAAAATCACGACGTTTCGGACGCAACACAAGCTTCCGTCTTCAGGTGGAACCGTCACAGCCCGACAGCTGTATCAAGCAAATGAGAGATTACAGGAGATACCACTCCGTATATATAATGGTTGAGGGGGGGGGGGCAGGAATGGCCCACTTTTTATTATTATGGTAAGGTTCGGTTTGAGACTATGAATAGACTGCATAACAAAAGACTGAGCCTTTATTATGGAGAGGTTCGGTTTGTGACTACGCCTAGCCTACATAATAAAAGTGTGAAAAAAGAAAGCTAAACCTGGTAGAAAGCTAAACCTGGTGAAACAACTGGCTGTTCATCAGTAACCTGCAATAGTTTTCTGTCAAATAAGGTGGTTCAAATAATTGTAGTTAAATTTTTTTTGCATGGTTAATCACATTTTTTCCAATGATTAAAGGTGCGGCTTGAGACTATGAATAGACTGCATAACAAAAGACTGAGCCTTTATTATGGAGAGGTTCGGTTTGTGACTACGCCTGGCCTGCATAACAAAAGTGTGAAAAAAGAAAGCCTAACCTGGTAGAAAGCTAAACATGGTAAAACAAAACTGGCTGTCTATCAGTAACCTGTAATAGTTTTCTGTCAAATAAGATGGTCCAAATAAGTGTAGTTAAATCTTTTTTGCATGGTTAATCACATCTTTCCAATGATTACTCAGTTTGTAACCATCATCACGGTCGAAATTATGTCTGTGTTTGTATATTTGTATGGCTTCGTGTACAAACCTTTGATGGTAGCCAGGAGGTTTGCAGAGAACCTTGGTCTCGGAAAAGACAATTTCATGAGAGCCCACCGAGTTGTAGCAATGATCGGCAACGGCCGAAGAATCAGTCCTGCCGTGTTTCAGATCTGACTTGTGCTCGCGGACACGATCAGAAACATGACGTTTCGTTTCTCCAATGTAGCAATCACCACAAAATGCAACTCAATTTGTAGACTCCAGGGTACTGTAAGTCAGGAACGACATCCTTCACAGATGGAATCAGATCACGGATTTTATGCACTGTACTGAATCGGACTTGGATCTTATGTTTGTTTAGAATTTTGGAGATCTTTTTGGTCACGTCTGCTATGTATGGTAACGTGATAGTTTTGGTCGGAGTTTCATGTGGCTGTTTCTGTGTGGTGGGAGAAATAGCTTGGCGGATAGTGCGGTCAGAGTATCCGTTCATCCTGAGGGCCCGATGTACATGTCTTAATTCACCGGCCAGGTGGTGTTGGTCAGAAATGCCATGGGCTCTGTGGTATAGCGTTTTGATGAGAGAATTATTTTGAGATGGTTGGTGGTGGGAATCCGGTTTCAAGTAGGAATCTGTGTGGGTGGCTTTCCTGTAGACAGAATGTCCCAAGGATCCGTCAGGCCTCCTCTCGAACAGAATATCCAAGAATGGTAGTTTACCGTCTTTCTCCACTTCCATGGTGAATCTGATGGATGGGTGTCTAGAATTGATGTGGTCCAAGAAGTGGTTCAATGCTGGGAGGCCATGTGGCCAGATGACGAAAGTGTGATCCACATACCTCTTCCACAGGGAAGGACGCAGGGTGGATGTCTGGATGGCATCTGATTCAAACTTTTTCATGAACATGTTGGCTATAACTGGTGACAAGGGGGAGCCCATAGGGGTACCCTCATTCTGTTTGTAGAAGGTGCCATTCCAGGTAAAATAGGTGTTGGTGAGGCAATGCCTAACCAGCGCAGGTACATCAGAATTCAATCCATGTTGGACTAAGTCCTCAATTATTGTTAGGGTGTCCGGTACTGGGACTTCGGTGAACAGAGATACTACATCAAAGCTGACGAGGATGTCATCAGGAGATAGTACCATGTCATTAACCATAGAGACTAATTG